TTTCTGTTCTCAATCTTATGTTCTCTTCTCGTGTTATTATCATTTTCCCTCGATGCAGTAGGATCCATGTTTTCCTTTTCATCAGTATCTTCGCATGTGTCAATTTTATCTTCCAACTCCTTCTTGCTATTTGCAGTCTCCGACTCTGTTTCGATATCCCAATTTTTAAACTTATATTCCCGCACAAGCCAACTCGGGTTCTTGAGAATTTCGTTCGCCTCATCATATTCCAACTCAGAAATCAGTACCGACATGTTCACATCATTCTCACCTGCTCTGCTCATACACACTGCCATGCCGTTAAATTCACCGACCAGGAGATCATAGAAGAGAGATGTGATAAAGTATTCAAAAATTTCGCTCAGTTTACCCTTTTTCTCTGGTATTTCCATCTGTTCTACCGAATCCGAACAACAATCCTGGCCTTTTCACTGTACACATACAAAACAGGTTCGTTAACATATATCAGGAGGAGTTTTACGTTCTTGATATCTGTGAGATACGAGTTTTTCAGTATTGGCAGCACTTCTGATGTGATTTCAATTCTTTTTTTGAAGTAATTGTACCGGTAAGGCTCGATGGTATTTATCATCATGGTATCGCAGCTTAACCGTGCTACTTATATATTTTTAATTTGTACTTTGTAGTTTTTGCCCTTTTAATTGTTAATTTAGCCTTAATTTATTGCTATTACCAGTTCAAGACTAATTAGCAAGAAATGATACGAAAATGCTGGATGTGACATCATGGTTAATGTATGTGTCAATCAAACTAAGTGCGCACTTGTTATATCATATGATAAGTTTTGATGGTTTCTTCCCATCTATTTTTGTTCATTTTTTGTTCTTTCTCGGAAAACACTTGCATCGATACGGCACGTTCAAAAAACCATGCAATATAGAGAAACAATGATAATACACCCCTATGGCAATGCATTGCTGACAACAGGAATGAATGCATAAAATGTTAGAAATTGGTCTTTGAATCTCGCAATTTGCAATCAAGCATAAAAACCATACATAAATCCATTTTAATCCTAAACATCTTACCACATGAACTATAGTTGTTATTATGTTCAGCCCTGCAGTTCATCATATTTATCGTCCAAATTGGATATTACAGCTTGGTTTTTCTACATGGCGAATAGCTAAAGCTGTTCTGAGAAGTTATCCTTCTCTCGATCAGGTGTTTCTGCAGCACATAATAACTAATTTGCTCCGTTGTTCTTATTTTGGCTCGTTATTTCTTCGCATTCCGATTCCATTAGTGCCAAACTGTCGATGCTCTTCTTAATATCGCTAAGAACATTCTCAAACTCACCATGTATTTGCTTATGCTCAGCATGTTTTTGTTCATACTCGGATTGAGAACACATATCATAGTTAGCAGAGTTGTTGGTTGTAAGAACAGAAGAGGAATCGTCCACATTGCGCATCTTTTCACCCTCACAGTTCAACAAAGTATGTTTTTGCCTATCAAACTCACTGCAATGCACATCAACTTTAACTTCGATAGTGCTAGACGGACCGGTACTCATCTTTGTCAGTTCGCAACTCGTTTCTTCCTTAGAATTCCTTTTGTATTCTAATTTACACTGTGTTGCATATGCTCTCGCGTTTTTGGATTCTTCTTGCCCTGTACATCCCATCAAGCTCTTCAATACATCCTCTAATTCCCTAGTTAGCAAATTATTTCTATTTTGATCATACGGTCCCCTATTTTTGTTGGTTGCTGCAATAGTTTTATCTTGATCAGCATCTATCCCCGTTGTTATACCTCTGTTTTCATCGTTTGACATTTTAGTGAGTGTCTCTCTTTCGACAGTCATAGTTTCTTCTTCATCTTCATCAATTCTTACCGTAATGATAGGCTTAATCATGTTTAACTTGTGTAATTCATCGTTTGAAGACTTCGATGTTTTTTCTGCTGAGTGCTTTCTCGTAGATGCTCTTCTTTTTTTCCAGCAGGAGTTTATACAAGTTATAACCACGGCCATCAGTGCAAGCATAAACCCTAAGATTATCAGAGTTGCACCGAACATTGTGAAAGAATAATTTGTATAGGATATTCTTTTCTTTACAACATTGAGTATACGACTTACAGTTGAGTTCTCCAAACTCGAACCTATTCCGCTAGTCCACGATGGTATATGATGTGAGATATTTGATTCACTTATGTTATTGCTATGTAATTGTACGTCTGTAACACTGTTGTTGGCTGCTTCCATGAAGGGCTGTGTGACGCACTTACTATATTTACATGTTAATAAAAACATTTCTATATTCGTAATATTAAATAATAATTAGCCGCGAAGCCGAAAAGACCATTGATATCATTTTTATACCAACTTTTATAGTAAATACGCATTATTATACTAGATTTTAATGCCCACAAGCATCAATTACGATTGTATCAGCTGTGCTATTTGCGCCTACAACCAAACAAAGTCTGGTTGTCATAATGATATGCCTTCCTTTCATGTCATCATTTTTGTCACTAAAAGCACTTCATTATTACCTACACATAAGTAAACGCAAACAATAACTATCATTTTGGACTGCCCAGAGAGACTGCACTTGTCATAGGTCTTTAGTCAGAGGCTAAATATTTGGTTTTTTTGGTAATCTTCTTTTAATGTTGTCTATAAAGAACAACTTTGCAGGCCCGATGGTCTGCAATTATCATCCAGATAACAAACTACTATTAATTTATAGAATAATCGATTAAAGAATTTTTAATCGAGGTTGGGAACGAAAACCACACTGCAAGGCTTCAAACTCGAAGGATGTGATGTATGTCTCAGATGTGAGAAGCATCAAAAAAAGTACCTTGTCTGTTGGTATTTTTGCGTAATTGATGTATTTTCTGTGCTGAGTTGTTGCAGGACTTTAGGGTCAATTCCTTCGTAAGCATAATGCCTATTCAGAACGAATTCGATTAAACTCATTATCTTAATCAAAAAACTTATCAAGATGCTAATGCAACATGGACAGACTTGGTGTTATATTAATGTATTTTATTGACATAGTTACAGCAAAAAAAATGATGTTACGCGCAAATTGATACTGAATTGTACGAGATCTAGCAGATTATAAATTCAAAACTGCCTGTTAGATCAATGTCTCAATTTTTGACTTTAAATGAACAAAGAACTGAGTTGTGCGTTACCTGCACAATAATCAAAGACCTTATAGTTCAATATCGCTTCATATGTTCTTCTCCTCTAGCCACTCAAAATAACGATAATTCCATTTCTAAACTCTTTTCATGTAAATCTCCATCCATACATCCTTAGCTTAATGGTTTTATCAGTATTTTCTTCCCTCAAGTTTTGAATCTGCTATTTTAGATCAGCTTCCTGGTCACAGACACGGTGAGCAAATGATTTTTTTGTACCATTTGTACAATCAACGTGGTTACATCCCGTAGAACACCAAAAATTATCTTGTTTTGAAGATAAGTGGCTGAAGCACAGAACAGAGAGTACTGAAATTGACAGGTGTGTTATATAATCATAAATTGTTGCAATATTCGCCATTTAATAACGCTCCAACCAACTTCTGTAAAAATTCTTTTTTTCCTCTCATAGGTTTTAATCTGATTAGATCGAATGTTCTCCTCGCAATTCGACCATCAGTAAACCATAAGATCGCAATTAACTGGCATTGATTACACCAACAAATAGCACAAACCATATTGTTGGATTCCATCCACTGATATTACAGAGTAGAAGCACTTGATATTTTTTCTACTGTTTCCTGTGTCACAAGGAGTAAAAGAGGTTTTTCCCTTCTCAAAAGTCCATTTTCGTATCTTATAACATATATATTGTCCAAACAAACTCATTTTCGATAGCATATTCATCCTAGCCTGGAGATAACCTTTCTTGCATGCACCTGGTTCTTTCGCTATTTTTATGCACAAATTTATCTTTCATGTCTCATGCATATAAATTTGTGTTTAAATCCAACCAATTGCATTACAAAATTTGTGGTTACGGATCGAAAAACAGGCCATGCAGTTGATGCATAGACGATAGCTATGAGCATAAATCTATATTATTGCTTCAGTAAAGTACCATTCCGTAAATTTGCACCACAGTAAGCTCAACACTCAGTAGCTATGTTTCTTACGAATTTGCAAAGTTATTTCAGGTTCGCATTAAATGCGTCACTGTGCTAGAAATCATTCTTTATTACCATAATAACGACCATATACAGACTTTTATTGCAATTCATATTGACTTTACTACAAAAATTATGCTTTTGTTTCTTATCTTGTATTCCGTCATATATCGTTTCATCACCACTGTCACGACCTGATCTCTTATTTTTTGCTCCTATGTTTAATCTTTCTACTAAAAATATGCCTATTTACTTCCTTGCTACCAACACATGTACTATTTTATCTTTCAGCACGACATCTAACCGAAAATCAGAGTGAAATATTATAAAAGTAGGCCATGAGCTACTGAATTCAAACATTGCAGCACGCGTAATTAATTCATGTCTGCTGTAAAACACTTTTGTATTTTTGACATCTAAATCTACTCTTAGATGATTTGTTGTACACAGCACATATTCCAAGATACACGCAGTTTTTCAAGGCCTTGATTACTTAAAATAGTGGAATAAACAAAAACATGGCTGAGAAACAGATGTTTAAAAAACGATTAAAAACATCCGATTAGGTTGCAAAATAATTTTCAGTGGTTCTTCACGGAACCGTTCTCGACACTCTAATTATGTAATATTTATTTTGATGAAAAACAAGCCCCGAGAATGACGGAATTCGAGTACCTGCTTCGTTATGTCCTGGGCAGTCACACTTTAAAATTAGTAAACAGGAAAAAGTGTACCAGTCATCAGCAAAAGCAGGACTTCTATGCAAGGTACAAGACAAATGACATCTTTTGCGCATTCTTTCAGAGGAAAGATAAAAACACATTCGTTCCTCTATTCAATTTACCAATTGATTTCGAGAAGAGTGAGCACACACTGTACTATGGCGTGGTGGCTGTCGGGAAAACAATATACGCTGATAAGGCATATGGGATAGAATTTTCCCCGCCGGAGGCATTTGATAACTTTGTTGTATACGATGAATCCCTTAAAACAATAAATGACTACGAAGAGCCAACAACTACTACTGAAAATTCGTGTGAAAAAGAAGACTCAAAGATAGAAATGAACGAACTTTCATCCGACGGTGATGAGGAGGAGCTGCAAATTGATAGGCACAAGGCGAAGAAAGAATTTGCCGAGCTTCTCAAGGAGTACAGAGACATCGGATACGATTATAATGACGATGAGAACAAAAAGACCAGGAATAGAAAGAAGTACGCACAGCAAGGGGACTGTGCTCACAGGGGCGACAAGAAGACAATTAATCATGAAAATATGAGAGAACACATCGAGCGTCTAGCTTTAAAAGATCGCAAGGATGAAAGTTGTAAGGAACGCGACGACCTCCTTGTACGGATAGTTGATGGCGACATTGATATCAAGCGTTTCTCGTATGTAATAAAAGATCCTGAGCGCATACTCCCCCTTTACGAAGTAGACTTCCATTTCGACAAAAACTTGGAGCTACAGTCGAAGAAATCCAACATGTGCGAGCGCTGCCAAAAGAAGGAGGCAAATATGTTCTGTGTGGCTGAACGGGCATCTTTTTGTGAGGAGTGCGATCAAAAGTTGCACTATGATTTCTTCACAAGGAGACATTTGCGACACTATTTTTCAAAATTAGGTGGAAGCAAGAAATTCTTCAACTGTAGGGATCACCCAGAAACAGTTGTTGATTATTTTTGCAAGGAGTGCAACGTTCCTCTGTGCACACAGTGCAGGCTGAAGGGAAACCACCCATCTGAGCACTCTTTGATCACGTATCTGCAGGCAAATGAGCTGGCGGACAAGCTAAAAGCAGACATAAATTTCGCGGAGGAGGAGCGTAAGAACGAAAAATGCATGTCGTTGCTGAAGATTGAGATTGATAGGTTCAGAAGCAACATAGCAGAGGTGAAGGCACTGTTAAACAAGCAATATAGGACAATTCTCAATGAGTTAGATGTTTTTACAAATAAAAAGTATCAAGTATTCAATGCGAAATACTTGGAGATATTCAAGGAGAATCAATCGCTGTTGTTCACGAAGGCCTTCGTTGCTTCTCTTGATAACAGCAAGATAATTCAAAATTACAGGACGATTCTGGAGCAAAAGGATACTTTGAAGGTAAAAGAGGATCCTAAGGTCAAATACAAGAGTATATATTTGAATGGCACTCTTAGTCTGCAAGCTTTGGAGAATAGCGGTGTACCGAGGAAGAAGAACATAAGTGCGATTAACAGAAGTAAAGAGTTTTATGCTGAATCGAGCGAAAGTAGGATTGATAGGTATTAAATAAATGGTTGTTTACTAATTCTGATATCTCAGATTTGATTGTTTTGCTGGTAACTGTCTACCTATCTTTTCATAGAGTAACATCTAGGAGGCACACTTTTCCGGTCCACTGGGACCGATCACAGCCATTAGCTTTTGGTTCATGGAAGAAACCAGCGCGCCCTCACCCAACAGAAAGGCATGCAGCAATGATCCTAGCGCGCAAGCTGTGACTTGTGCGACTCTTCCAGGAGTCTTCTTCTCAGGATCTATAGGTGAATGTAATTAGACCCAGCCGAGGAAAAGCATTGGATACTCGCCCATCGTTGGCACTTCTAGAGGAGATGCTACGCAGTTTCCTTTTCATCCTTCTCACAGAATGAATACTCCTGCCGGTATGTCGAGTGATTATGTTGTATCCAACAAGGCGGTGAACATAAATGAAGGCACTGATACGCATCCTAATTAATGTGGCCCATAAATTGCCTAAATAACAAAAACAATTTTCTAAATAATGGAGATAGATTGATAAAATTGACAATACCAAGTGACGAAAAATAAACCTTTAATCCTGTATGCCTATCTCGTCTACAACCCTCGTAGCTTCATTATTGTCAAAATCTGGCAAATCCAGCATTTTGGGTGAATAAAACTTCCTAAACCCGGCAGCAAACTTTGATTCCTTTTTCGCATCCGCTGGATCCTTGTATGCCCGCGACATGATGTGTGTAAACATCTTCGTGGCATTCTCAAACCTCTTATCAGTGTTATCTTCATCAGGGAATGCAGACGTGGTGTAGAAGTAAAACATGAAAAACATCCTCGAATACATGAACGACTCAAATACCGTGGTGCTGGCTCTGGCAAGATTCCTGTAGAATTTCAATACGTGTGCTTTTGTTAGATCAGTGGTCTTTTTCTTATCTCCATTGCGCACCGTGTATTTGTATTCCATCTTATTCCAAAGATTAAATGTATGATCGATAATGATGTTTTTCTCTGGATCTGTACCGTCAAGCAGCTTGTCTTCCTTCTTGATATCAATCAAACATCTGAGAAGAGAAACGAGGTCGCTCATCGCATCGTGCATGTTATCTACGTTCTCCAAATGGTCATTCCCTAGACCACTGAGCTTAAAATCTGGCAGATCTAAATAAATAACCTTCACGTCTTTGTTCTCACTTGCGTCCTTAGTCGTCATTGTCATCAAATGCTTCCTCACAGGTAGGAACACGCTGTCATTCCATTCAAAGGTGTGCGTGTAGTACTGCATAGAACCACGAGGGAAATGCTCTGGTCCCTTGTCATCGAGCATCTTCTTCGAGCCCTGCGCAAACTCTAGAAAGTCTTTCAACTCTTTATTGCTTGTATCCCAAGTCTTATCCGCCACATGTTCGTATGGGCCAATCATGTGTTTGTCGGCGTGCTTCGTTCTCCACGAGTAGAAAATCCTTGCATCCGTGTCCTCGTTGAGCCACACAAAGGAGTACATGTATTTGAGGATAAAATGCGCAATTATTGCTATCAATCCAACCAGTAGACATGATAATATTAACTTGCCTACTGAAAATTTCTTTCTTATTGGGGTTGTCGTGTTTGCCATTTTACTTTCCGAGGGGCAAAATAATCGATGCGTTATAAGTAAATTACCGGTTCATAAAATCGTTGCTGAAAGGGATTTGGTGTAACAATTGGTATTATAGACGGATAATAAATCTGTATTTGTGCTTGAATTGTTCCTATTCTCTCAATAACTTTTCAAGTGCATGCATGTCATCGATCTCAATAGATTGGCCGCTCTCCTTTAAAAAATTTTAGGAAGTAGTCTCGCAATACAGCCTGTGTACACACCCAAAAAGTGTGTTTGTTTGGATGGTGCAATTATGAATAAACGTGCTTTCGATAAAAAATTTGTGAAGTAACATCACAATTCAAGATTCCGTAATTTATCACGAACAATGATTTTACCATTTCAATTGGCTGCTGCCGATATGCTAAAAAGAGGAGGTAATGTCTTCCAAAAACATTCCATGCAGCTCATCAAAAGCAGAACGGATTTTTTACAAATAGTTTGAGTCATTGGGCTTTTATGAAGCGTTCAATACATATTTCATCATGGCTATTCGAAATACATAATGGTATATTTGTTTTACCATCTTGTCCGACAGGTCATAGTTGTGCCAATGCTTACACAAAAATTAATAGTAATCTGGTGCAAATTTGAGTTATATTGTGCGGAATATTCGTACCAGAGAAACAAAATATATCTATTTAACCTACTTTTACACGAGACATGCGTGGTATTTTGCACAATAAAGATGCAAATATATTGAGATTGTGAACGTTTTCCCATAAGAAAGTGCTCAAACAATTTATTTGTCTTTATGTATCCAGTTAAACGTATATCCAAAAACAATATAGCAAACGGTGCACGATTCATTTCAACGAGATTTAAGTAAGAATTTATGGCCACCATAATTTTATACTGAAGAATCAAAAACAAAAGCAATTTATGGCCATCATAATTTTATACTGAAGAATCAAAAGCAAAAGCGCATATGTGCACGTCACCCAATGCTTGCTTAATATTTTTATATATACTCCGATACGCCATTGTGCTCATTTTTGGCTCATTATTTAACTATGAGATAAACTTTTTGGCACAAATACCTTTTATAGCACTTTTGCTTTCAATTAACTATTTGTTCAATTACATTAACGACTACATGATTTGAATCTTCACACTCTTCGATGGCAATCTTGATGTCGAACGACAGGGTGATTTTCAACAGCCTCATAGGACCAAATAACACTCAAATTAGACGTATAATTCGCTATATTGCTCATAAATTGCAAAGTTGCTGGCAAATCGTGCTACTCGGCAGTTAAACATGCCACCATGTGTTCTCATGTTGTGGCTTTACTTCCCACCACATCTTGACCTTCATTAGAAGAATGCGTGTTCGTAGCAATCCGTTCTCAACGCTTCATTCTCAATATTATTTCATTACTGCAAATGTCATCGGTATTCTTCAGTGCTCTCTTTCCCTCAAACAAATGCAATTTAGAAACAGGTATTTTAAGTTCTGCACCGATCTCCTTCTTAGCTTCCTTTACACTTTTAGATGCAATAAGCACAACCTTTTTATCACATTCAAACTCGATTAGCACTTTAATTCTGTTTGTACTCTGGCCGCTGCTCTCCGGATTAATTTCGTTCTTCACGTGTTGTTCAAAAGAATTTGCATCAATTTTCTTGAAACAGAACGGACACTCCTTAAAACCGCCCTTATCGTATACCTCCAATAGCCATTCCATCACCATGTCGTCGGGCCTCAAACACTTATAGATCTTGTCGTTCGTGGGCTTCATCAATATAAAATCATTAAAGTTCGAAAGGGATACGTTATCGTAACAATCACGCTTTTCTGCTCTTGCGACCCGTATTTGTTTGTTTCTGAACTCCTTGTATTTTTTCTGTACATATTTCACCAATCTTTTGTCAAAGTCGGCTATAGTAAATGGATAATTTGACTGGCAATGCTGTGTAAGATAGGAAAGCTTTAAGAGAACGCGCTTGTTTTTCAAATAATTTTGTAGCATTTCTCGGAGGGGTATTCCAACAACTTGAGGGCATAGATAAACAACATATTTTAGTAACCGGATTGGAAGGAATATTAGATCTTACACGATAGTATGGTGCGAACAATTTTCATTTGGTTAAAAAATGGGCTAACTCGTAAGTTTTGTCCCTTACAAATGAAATCAAAAGTATGGTGAAGAAATAAATTCATTGTAGTGTATGTGATCATATCAGCCATACTATATTTTTACACAACGAATAGACATCTTTTGATCAAGTGCCTGCTTGTCCTAAAACATGGTAAACAATCGGCATAATTTACTAGATCCTACAAGTTATTTACCGTGCGTGTAATCCTTCAACCAAACGATGGTCTCGTGCTGCGGTATGTCTAACTGTCCTGTAGTTTTTTTTATTTTTTACGTATTGATAGCACCAACACAAGCGATAAGATTACCTTCCTGTTTTGCCCTGTCCTGACGAGACACATCCTCAGAAATAGCATTTAACACTATTTAATAAACAGTTTGTTGAAAAATAATGGTTAAGGCTGCTTGATACCTTTCCACCGGTACATATAACTATGCTGCGACTGATAATCCACGCGGTCATCAATTCTTTTTGTTCTTGTGTTTTCGTATTTAAAAAAATTCTTTTTTTCATCCTTGATGAAAGATCAACAAAACGCGTTCTTCAGCTATAACTCACCTTCAAATAAGCTGATAGTATCACCTTTTCGTAAGATGGTCCATGAAGGAGGCGTGTTCGCCGTGCTTAAAAAGAAGCGAAAGGATTTGCTTTCAAAATTTGACCCGGACAGCACAGAGAGTACCGATGAGAAAGAGAAAATATGATTCCAATAAAATGTGCTGTAGTGTTATTCGGTATACGGTGGTGCTGGTCTATCACATTTGATTGTTGACGGGCAGCTCTCGAGTTTGCAGCATCGTTAATTCCCTATCTTCTCATGATTCTTCACCATATTTATTTATTCGTATGTTTCCTGCTCTGTCATTATTTTGTTCATCGAAGGCATATTTATTCCAGCGCCATCGTCACATGTATTTCCTTTACTATCTCCCGCGTATTTGGAGAAGTTTACGTCAAAAATGGATGACTGCGGTCATTAAACTCAGCTTTGGGGATACCGCACATGTCTCGTTACCATTAATTTGTTGACATCTTTACAAAATTCAACATGCTCTAACTCTAATTCACGTTCAGGACCTTTTTTCGATATCTGATTTTCCTCCTTATGTTATTCAATCTTCAAGTACTTCTCAGTTTTACCTCAAAGCACTCTGCGCTACCAGGAAAGTATCAAACCATTGGAATACCTTGGAATAAGCTATACTGTAATTAAAATTTTATTAAAACCCTTTAATTTGCTTTGTCAGGAATGAGACGATCAAATAAGCGGCTACACCAGCAAGGGCTATAGGTAAGGTTGGATATACAGCTATTAATGAATTGTAAGGGTTAGATATTTTCGATAAACCGATTTGAAAGAGGAAACTAATTGAGCTTCTTCGTCTTCCGATCAACACTGATATGAAGATTTATGCATTCGGTACTCGCCTTTCCTGAGAGTTTACTACCCATCAGAGCTATAAAATCTTCTGTTCACGGCTGTATTTTCGTCTCAGAGGCCAACCACATTGGCAGTCAGAAATTTCCTGAGGCTCTAGCAAAGACTATCCTGCAGTTGCAGAGGCACTGCATTCTCAAAGGACGCTGCACTCTTTACCCATTATCCATGGTTAATAGATCACATTCCTTGGTATTTCTTCTGCTAGCGCATCACTTTTTCATAACGATCCAGGGACCTCTTAGACACTTTGTAGAATCATTTGCCGAGAGAGACCGACTCTGGGCCGTTGTGGATAAGCATTCTAGTTTCCCCACTCGGTTATTGTGTCTCCTCGATATCTTACTCGGTGCAGACTTTAACGCGCACTTCTACAAATATTATACGCTTTGACCATCTATCTTGACATATGCCACCCAAATATTTATAAGTCTTTTACAAAATTGTAAGCGCTACGATCTTTCTTCTCGATAGGATGACGAGGGCATTATCGTATAGGTAGAAGGTGTAAGCTATTTCTTCTATTTTCACCACCAATTTATTTAAATACCAAGTGATGAGGACAACAAAGGGATCTTGTACTGATATTCAATCATTATGTTCGATAATTTCATCTAATCGTTGGGATCTAAACCAACTCAACAAAAGGGGAAGATGAGTTTTCATTTAATCTAGACAGAATAGTGCGTTTTTCTTTTTTCCAGGATGTTGATGAAACATCTACGAGTATTCGAATCTATCTATCATATTTGGCGTATTTTCAATTGCAACTTGAGACGAAATGCAAGCTTGTATCGCTAACCTGCAAGTAATCACGCCCATGTTTCAATGCTACTAGGAACAAAGATAAAGCTAAAATGTGATTCTTTATATCATGAAGTCGTTGTAACCTTGTTGCTTCGCAGCACACATTATTCATTTTCTCCGTTACTGCATAGAGCGCCATCTTTTAAGAGTGGCAAACATCTTCTCTAGCCATGAAATAATGCAACCTAAAACACCTTTGTCGGAAAAGATTTTCTAGCCGTGAAACTCGGTTTGAACGAATAGATTTATGGTAAATTATTTTTTCATTTGATATGCATGCGTATAAAAAGTAAGATATAACTGTTGTGAACAGCGAATGATTCAAATAACCTATTGTAACTTGTTCTACAAACCGAACAGCATACTTTATGTTTTATATGTATTGTACACCCGCACAAGTAAATTTGCACACTATTGCGTTAGAAAAATAGAACTAAGCTTGATTTGTATTGAGTGATATTACCGCTCTTTAATGTGTCATGTTTTTCTTGTTCTCATTTCTGACAGCAGCTGATAAATTTACTCATCACCGGTAATCATGTGATTTAAATATTATTTATGAACAACTACGGTGAACGTTTCAGAGAAATAAACCGGATTGCAACATTCAACTTTTGCTTTTTTGACCAACCAGCTTTCGGCCTGTCTTTCTATTTATCGAATCAACTTACCGAGCCACTTCCCATAATTGATAAGGCTTGTCACCTCAACGATTATACGATAAGTACGAAGGCCTATGAAGTATCGATGTACACTTTTCTCTTGCTGGTGCCAAATTCGGCCCATTAAAGCATTTTGCCTGTTTCAGCTTATACAATTAATTTAAAAATGTATATTTTGGGTAAACACGATAGCATTACCAAGTTATATAGTTATTCCAAGTTGCTGCGGCATAAAACCTTATGAACGATATGTGTAACCGCGTCTTTAAGTCATGTCCTAGAAAAGAAACGGGTATATGCTCACTTATAGGTAAATCGGCAGATTCCATCGACGTTTTTACCGGCAGCAACTCAGACAAGTCGTACTCACAAAATTTTACAATAAGATACGATGAAGTGCTCAAGTGCTTTCGTATGCACAATGTTGAAACATCTCCCCTCTTTCCTGAATGTGCTGAGCAAGTGGTTGATGTGTTTTGCCTCCTTTTTTGGCTTTTTCTGATCGGCTTGCTCGTTTATTTCCTGTTATTCGAGAAGAACAGAGCATTTCTGTTTAGCGTTCCCTACAACGTTTATTATCTCTGCAAAAAAGCAGTTTGTGGCCACACGCACAAGCACAAACGAAAAAAGCAGCGACAATCGGTTAAGCAACAAAACGACGAAAGGAACAAAGAGTACGTGGAAATGGCAGTGAAAGAGTCTCATAGGACAAAGAACATACCAAAAGATACCATTGTGACCTTAAACGATCTCGACTAAGATTTAATTAAATAATTTATGTTTTGGCGAGGTATTCCATGTTTTTGAACGTTTATAAGAGAATGATCAATACTTTTAGTACCAGAACACGTTCACTCTATCGAAATTCATAGTTTTACTGCGGCATTTCTGTATTGTTTCACTAAAAATGCGTTTTTAAATCACCATGAGACTGGTCTTGTATTCAACACATGGTCTGGTGTGTGAAGTATAGGCTGTAAATAATGTCTCTATACTAAGATATGTAATACGGTTTGGAGAATACGATGGTGTTACATGTTTGAAAATGCTGAGACTATCACATAACTCTCTATCAAAGCTCTGCTCATGAAATACCGGTATCTTACTAAATTTTAGCGCATTGATGTGGAGGATAAAGAGTTCGCGTACAACATCCCAGTTTATCTTTGCTGTATCGCACAAAAATTCACTTGTTTACTCCAGCGCCTTCCCCTATTCAGGGCAAGATAGCCTTTTTTGACTTTTTGGCCGATTCTAATAAGATAATTCAGATTGTAACACGTAGAATACGTGTCTAAGTATTATTATTGCTTCTATCTTACAAGAATGCTCTTTTTGAATATCTAATTTTTAATTTGCCGTGTTGGATCATTAAATGCACATGGGCATTTCAAGCCCATTCCATGGTCATGAAATCGATGATACTAGGTTGTAACGAGATATTTAAAATTTGCAGAGGTATAGTGGATAATTTTTGTGATGTTTGGGTTGCAGATACCGATAGAATTCAGGTGTACGAAGATATAGCTAGGGATCAAGTAGAAATGCTTACAGGAAAATACGTAAGCAATATAAAAAAATACAGATCTGATTTTCTTCGGTTATTTGCTAAGTGTGTGAGCGCCAAACATAACAAAGAGTCAGCCGTTGGCTTGTACGTTGATCTTGGGCAGCCTGATATCGGCAACGACAACTCGTTAAATGCGTTAATAGTTGTTTTTTGCATGTTGATCACGCTTATACTGATAGTACATTTTAGGCTCAGGAAAAAATACGTAGTTGATGCGGAACAGGAAAGGTTAAGGATAATCCAAGAGGTAAAATTGGCCGCTAAAGAAAAAAAGAAACCGAAAAGGAACGATACTAAGCTAATTGTACTCGAAAAGATAGTTATTGGTAACAATAATGGCTGTAATAGCCTACCTATCGATAGCAAGCACAGTTACCATTGAAATTGCTTAGGATTAAATATTTATTGAACATAAAAAATATTTGTCTTGATAGCAGTGCCCGTATAACCTTTACCAACAAAAATGCCGAGCACATGTATAACATTGATCGCAGTTAACACGAAGCACCGAAACTTATACTGTGCATACAATATTAGCAGTAATTCCGTTTGTCGATGGTATTTCTACCTCTTAATCTCTTGAATGTTGTCAAAGATGTGGTATAGAACTGATATGATGTGTCCAAGGGTGAGGAATACCAATTTGTAGTGATATGTGTGGAACAACGAAGTAGGCTGAGATACCAAGCCCTGATTTCTTTGTAACTGTTCTCAGCCAAAATCAATGCTAACCGGTGCTAGGTGTCTTCAAATCTCAACACGCAGATCTATAAATGATGTCATCGGTGCTCTTGATTGACATAGGTCCGGCAGGTACATTTTACATGATACGTATGTATGTGAGATGTTCTAAGTAAACCTATTTTTAAAATGGGTAGAGAACCTATCTTAATAGTATATAAATGTTATTGCAGAACAAAATGATAGCATGTTTATTTATCCGGATCTAAACACCTCAACAAATGCTATTCTTGTGTTTGATCACTTTTTCAAATGGCAGCTATTCATCACCTCACACCGCTCATAAACATCTGACATTGTGCTACAATGATAGCTTTTTGCTAATTTTCTTCACTTAAATGATCGAATGAGAACAAGAAATCGTATATCAAGCCGAAGCAAGAGGAGTTACGGTCACCAAATAGAAGGTGGCAGCACTTTGCTGCGGAAATAACCACGACGAAGACGTAAGCAAGCGAAGCTTTAAATGTGCAAATAAAAACTTTACCTGATATTACGTCAAGAGTCATCTCTGCCCGAACTTACGCGATAACAAACTATTGTATTGCTGCCTCGCTGTTCGTAAGCATTCTGTACAAGTCCTCCAACCAATTGGTAATGATCTATCATTTACCAGGCTAGTATAAGCCACGCTATCGCTGCAATACACTGCATTTGATTGCATGCATCGCTGTACAGAAGAGGAGAGTGACCTTAACAATACTGAAATCTCGATTGGAGGACAAGCAAGCCCTGTACGCAATATTTGTATCAATCTAAGATCTACAATCTATCCCACCAATTTATTATCATCATTTCTCATAATTTACCGGTACATACCTAACCATAAACACAACCCGTATTTTGATTATCGCATCGTATCAACTGCATGTAGGTGATTTATCAAAGCTTGTTCGCCAAAATTTGGACCAATTTCAAGCTTATTGTTTCATACAGAGGTTGATGAGCTGCAGATGTGTAATTCCGCCATTTCACCCTCAAACCACGATTTAGTTGATACTGCAGAAGTTGCAGATGGAACTGGAGCCGCAATTAACATCGTGACAATTCCATTAAGCATCATATAAGCACATGGTCATGATATACTTCGGTCAAACACATATTGCCATATGTTATTAGTTGTTAGTTATGTGCCACGTGCAACAACAAAACAGTGCGCATACTTTTTGAATCGTTGATTAATGCAAAACGTTGTTCCACGACTTGCTGTCTAGTACACAGTAAAATCGCTTTCTTGGGCAGTTTTTATAAATTTCTTGCAGCAGCTAACATTCTTTATTCCTCAGCTCCTTTCTTTTTTAGCTAGAAGTCATTTATTTGTCTTTTTACACACAATATTCAAAAACACATCTTTCGGACCCGCTGAGATCAACCGAAGACAGTTATTCAGTCTATATCCTTGGTTTTACAGCACTCTCCGAACTAATCACTAATAAAGTAAATTTATAACTATTTAAGCCAAATTTGTGGACTTATTTTTGGTACAGCGGAACAGAAAATGTTCAAAATAGCAGTTGATTACGCGCGTCCGGGCTTTTTTTCGGGATTCAGTGAATGGTGCAACTATTTACGTGAGAAATGTATGCATTTAAACAAACCAGACTGTGTCAATACCTACTACGAAATTTATCATATAAATGCCAACAAGAAATCTCAGATGAACTATTCGCCAAGTAAGGATATCAAAACTCTGTTTAGAGGTTACCATACGAAATGCTCGCTGGGACAAATGTCCACTAATACGTACGTAGCTTTTCCATACACATCCCTAATTTTAGTATGTTTAATCGGATTGCTTTTTGGAATCTGCATGGGTCTTATCGTTTGGTATGGTTCCAGAATGCTTGTGAAAAAATACAGAACAAACAAGATTCGAAAAAAGAGATGGGCAGAAGAAGTAGAGAATTACCACGAAGTTGTTAGCGAAATGAAGGAAATTATGATTAAAAGGTTGTAATAATATGTTTGACACTTTTTATTCCAGCAATCACCCAAATATGGTGGTCTACACGAATGATATTTTTACAGTATTATTGTTAAGTGTTCACGAGATATTGCAAATTCATTTTCTAAGAATGCACTCAATCAGGTAAACAGCATCAATTTAATTTGTTCTGTTAGATAATCATTCCATTTGATGACCGTATATACTTCAAACTATTGTTGAACATTGCTTTTTAGCATGACTCCAATGGATTTTCTTCCTCTACCAACATTTAGTTCGAGTTATCGTTTTTCCTGTGAACAAACCACGCTACCGTTCACAAGTCCTATCCAAAGTTAGGCACCAACAGATTTCTTTACTACCTTGTTCATATCCTGACTCTGCACCACGCCAATTTATGAACACACTTCATGCAGTTATTGCCATCATAGCCTTTATGACCATCGATTCACGATATGAAGTACAAAACCACATCACACATGAGAGAAGCAAAAAGGGAGCGCCATAGAAAAAACCGTGAACCTGTAATAGACGGAGCACACCCTACAAACACCTGTTTTTACGCTAGAAATACGTTTATTTACCTCAACCCTGTAACCACACGTGTCAAAATGCGCCCTATCAAAAACCAGAATCCGCGAATAAAACTAAAGACAATGCAAAATTAATTACCAACTTAACAAGGTAACTACGGAATAATTATTGATTCACAGAGGAAAACGCCATCTAATTCCGACACGAAAGGGTAGCATATTCAGCAATAAATAGGCGAATTGTTAGTAAAAAGGTTACAAATGATGGAATTATCGATTTGATACTCATTACACTGAACAGAGCACAATAATATATTTTTTAGGTGAATCGACCTCGGTGCGACAAAAATATTTCTTCCATTTCAAATTCCTCACAAATTTACTGCCATGGGCCACGAAAGCACGTTAAACAGGCTTGTCAATTACTTGAAGCATGTTAACAGCACTCATATTCATCTGCAAGAGTACATTACATGCTAAATTTGATTACTCTTCCTCTCAAGCGGTTCTCATAGCCTTAAAATCTAAGAACGCCCAAGAACTTGCCATCCTAAATTTGATTACTCTTCCTCTCAAGCGGTTCTCATAGCCTTAAAATCTAAGAACGCCCAAGAACTTACCATCCTAAATTTGACTACTCTTCCTCTCAAGCGGTTCTCATAGCCTTAAAATCTAAGAACGCCCAAGAACTTGCCATCTGAAAAAACTACACTGTTATGAAAGAAGACCGCACAACCAACATTCATCTTCCATGTACGGGTGCAATCATCGCTTAATAACCTCAAAGCATCCTCTGACACAACAATAACATGGTCGTTGAACACGTCAACCATTTTTATCGGCCCGTACTTCTTCATCCTTTCGTCTATTTTCAGGCCATACTCAGTTCCCAGGTACAAATGATCGTCATGGATGAGAATACAGGTCAAATTAAAATATTCCTTCCTGACAACCTTAGCTATGTTGTCACCTTGAACAACAAAAAACCCGCTACTGTTCAAAAAATAGAACCTACCGTCCGCAAATTTTATGTCTAGCACAGCGTCAAAGTGATAAATCTTTTTCTTTTGATACTTCTCATCCAAAACGAGGACAATGTCTCTGTTTACAAGAAAAATGTGGTCCTGTAGTTCGAACACCCGGTCAAAATACCTGATATTTGTGCGTATATCCACTATGCCAAACGTGCACAAATCAATCTCTTTTAGAATACCGGTCTTGTTGGATACCAGAACCAACTTATCACCGGTAACCAACATGTCCACAACAAAGTACTTGTCCATCTTGAACGACCTTGTCAGCTTAAACAAATCTTGACCATCCTTCTCAAATTTGTACAGATACCCTCGTGCATCCAGAACGACCAGATACTTCTCGTTAGCCATCATGCGTATTACCCTCGTATTACATCTGAACAATTTGTTCATGATCTGCACTTCCTTCTTCTCCACACAGCTTACATTTAAATCATCCGGTTGTTTGTCCTTGAGGTAGCACAGATCATGTTCTTCCATGCTTTCAGAATCAGCCCATAAAGCGGGAAGTTGCTCCTCAACCGAGCTGGATGTCATCGAAGAAGATGCAAAAAGTTCATCTTCAAGCGAGGCCGTTGAGCCGGTCATCTCAGAGTACTCCTCGTCAAGCATTTCAGCCCCATCAAAATCGATCCCTTCCTGCTTGCCCGCTTCTTCGCCATTGCAATGGCCTTGTAGCGCATCTAAACTTCCATTATCATAGCCCAATACATTGTTGATCAGATTCTTGTCTTTGCAGTTTTTTAAATTAGCGTTTTCGGCCGTATGACCGGTGGTCGCACATTCTTTTTCATCTTTGCGTGATTTTTTAGTCATGGGGTCCAAAAAATTATTTTCATTTCACGATTTGTGTCTTAGTCATCGGCAAGGCCGTTCGAAAGTAGCGCCAAATCCGATATTTCTGCATAAAATTGCCATGCTTACAGTATTTCTGTATAGCACACGCTCAAAATTAGCATTCCTTCATCTCATACTCGAAAGAGCATTCTCTGGTGAGAACAACATGATAAATTGTTCGCTGCATTTAGCGGGCCAGACCAGCTTGTACCTATATCATATGCATACGAATATTTGTTCATTCTGCCGCTATTAATGTCTATCAAGCGAATGCTGATGGTTTAAAGACCCGTTATTTTGAACAACTGCCAAAATGTGCATGATCCAATGGATTGATCAGCACACAGACATTTTTAGACCAAACGTGTAAAAGTAAGCCGGACCAGCAACATAAATAATGCGCTAGGCTGCCATAAAAACGAATTATAAATGGTCATCCACATTACTTGAGCAACAATTTACCATGTGTATGTGTCTACCAGTGGAGGTATGAGGAGATCACCCATTCTGCTGTTGACGTAGCGCATCCATGAGTAGGTGCTTATCAAAGTAGGGGATGGTAGCACGACACGAGAAGCAGCATCTTGAGGTGGAATGCTTAAACAGCACCACGATGTGGTGTTCAGAATGGATGAGACCATGCGGTATGATTATCTTTAACAATCTGCGGCTAATAAAACGAAATATAGCCTTACGTGCAGCAGTAGGCCTGATCATTAAATTTTGATGCATGACGGTCTGTGTCACCCTGATGTACAATGCATGTGTAAAAAAAGCCCTTTTTTGGTTAATTTCCGGTAATTACAGCACTAGCCCGTGTATATTACGTTCTATTTGTATTTATCACACCAAAATACTTCTGTGCGTGTATTTAACAATTTCAATTTTCCGTTTTAGGTTTTCTCTGCACTTTACTTCCTTTTGCATATATCATTAGAAATGGCACCTCTGGGACAAATCGATGCAAGCAGCCAAGAAACGGTGTCAAGAAATATTGCAAGTGTGCACGAGTGTTGAGAGCATTCCATGCTCTTATCTTGATCCGTATGCCGAGACGTACAAGGAAGTCCTTGAGTACGATAAAGTATCACAGCGTGAGATCCGAAAGGATAGAAATGCTTTTTTCCGGGAGATAGAGAATTGTAACGAGTGTAAGAAGGATGGATTTAGCGATGAATGCTTCAAACGTATCTATTCAGAAGATACGGTAGCGCATGAGTTCGGCAGCAAGGCCATTACTACCGTTATTTTAGCGTTCTGTCTCGTCCTTCTCATCTTATACGTTGTTCAATACTGGTACAGGTACAATAAAATGGAAAAGCAGCCAAGAGTTTACGACATTGACAACGAAACTTAATGTTACCGCTATAATTCGTTGTACGTTCATGTTTTTGCCATTTAGGATATTGCAATAAATTATGATGCGTAAGATGTGTTGAATACAATCTTCTACAGTGCATCACTGTGGAAGATAAGAATGTTCTAGCGAATACTTTATCATCCCAAATATTGATTTATTCGTTTATCCGATTACAATAATGTATCTCCTGCAGATACACCGTCTTTAAGCTACTCCTAATGTTACCGCTATAATAATCATAATGAGAATCAATTACGAATAAAGAAATATTCTATCATCACTTTAACACTCCATGCCACCTACAACCTTTGTTATTTTTGGAATGGAATGGGCTCATTTGAAGACGTTCCACCACAATATCACCCTATCTACGTTTGTATTTGCTCTAAAAGTTTAATCAAGCGTATTGTACATGAACACATGCTTGACCATGAGAGAAGAACAACGGAACAAACAGAAAGCATATCCACTGAACCGCTGGTATGTATTTATTTGTCACCTGTCTTTTGTACGATCCTCTTAACGTTATGTAGTGAATAAACAATAAATTGGCACACTACCTCAGTTCAGCCCCACAGCATGCTTATCGATCATAACTGCTGTTTAAAAAGGATGCTTTGCTTGGTGATAAGATGACAGGTCATGAATCAAGGGAAAGCGCTCATTATCAGCCCAGCGAGCCGAAAAGTGTGCTGTATAGATGTTGTTGTCTGTGGAGACAAATAAATGACTCTTGAGAACAAAAAAATATACGAGAAGTGATAATTTTAATCTAAATTTACTTATCGCTTCAGATACCGTTGAACAGCATATCGAATAAATTTTGTGTTTCTATTTACTATTGCCTCACTCAACGAGGTACCAACAGTATAAAACCCTTTTTACATGGCAGAGCGAACAAAAGCCTTCGCTATGTCTGTTTGGAATAGGACTGTTTCATGTGCGTGTCACTAAAAATTTTTTGCTTTATCACCAGTTTGCTCTTTAAATTGCAGCGGTAACCGCAGGAAAACGCTCGTACTACATGAACACAGCGTAGTTGACGTAAGAAAGACTTTATTTGATACCATTTGCACAATATGTCACTGTGTCTACTGATAATTGCAGTGCACGATCATTTTTGAATGCAATTATACTTTTCTGGTACATAATTGATTAGATATCACTTTAAGAGGGCGAACCGCGCACGAAGAGAATGGAAGATCCAAAAAAGTTCACAATCATTGCAGACCTTTCGGAGCCCAACAAATATTTTGGATTTAATGAATGGTGCGAACATCTACGCAAAAATTGCATGAACCAAAGAAAGGAGGCCTGTGTGCCAACCAAGATCGATTTAGGGTACATCAACCTTCCTCAGCCATCCAATCGCGAGTATGAGCGATCGCTCGAAGCGCTTACAGCCAAACAATTCGAGAAGTATGAATCTATGTGTTCTACAGGATTGATATCAACCAAGGATTACATGTGCTTTAACTATGCTCACTTTATCTACCTTTCGCTTTTTCTTCTTGTCTTTGGTATTTTTCTTGGCGTGCTGTGGATCCTTATCCACCGCATTTACCAAAGAAAAAAAATTATAGGGAAAATGTACCACGAGCTGGTGTACAAGGAAGCGAAAAAGCACCGCCAAATTGTCGAGTTAATGAAGGAAATCTCAAAAACTGAAACGAAACAACCAAATTCTGTACTGTGAAAAGTATACAACGCAGTATCAGTTCAAGTTTGAGGTCGTAGTGTGTTTAATTAAAATGTCAGGTTTTCGTTTTGATAAATATTGGCATGGCACATCGCAGGATGCTGTTGTTTATGCCATCGGTGTAAAATACTTGGAGATCCGTGCATGCTATGGATGCTGAACCCTCTCATACACCAGAGACAAATCGTTTGCATCATATTTCTATTCCCGCAAGATACAAACCGAGTTAAACCGCTTCCCGCTCACCCCACAAAAAAGACTGCAAATGAACTATTCTAGCACTTTAAAAGACCTTTTTGTTAAATTTTGGTATTGAGGGAATAACAACACCTTACACTTTACGAGGAACAACGTTCAATCATACCTTACTGATAAAAAATAGAAAAACACCTTTTTCACCAATAACGAGGTGAACAAATGCATAGCGAAAAAGTTACCGGCACCGAGAGCATCATCTACCATCAAAATAACCGACACTCGCCAATCATTTTTACCATCACAATAACCGACACTCGCCAATCATTTTTACCATCACAATAACCGACACTTACCGATCATTTTTACCATAAAAATAACCGACACTCGCCAATCATTTTTACCATCAAAATAACCGACACTTACCAATCATTTTTACATGTTGCTGGGTTAAGGACATTTTTCTCCAATTTTACGGCACACGCCTAATCCCACAACAACTCAAGGTCAACCTTTCTGCCAGCTGGCACGCACGATTGTGGTAAAAACAGCGCACACAAAATCGAAATAAAACTCAGAAATTTAATCAACAATTTTCCACAGGTTTAAAATACCTTCCAGCCACATCTTTACCTCTGCAAAATTTAGCAGAGCCTGTGACTTCTTCAGGAAATCTTCGTACGACAAACCCTCCTCCTTAAATATCCTCAGATACGGCAAAATGTTCGGATTGGTCACCTTCTTGTAGTGGCCAACACGTTGCAAGCCATCCTTAATACGGGCTTTGAAGATAATCCCCTTCTTCCTGGCTGACCTATCTTTCAAATCTTCAATCCTTCTCTGTATAAGCGAATCAAGCTCATTAATTTCGTTTTCGTTAAACTCCTCGCCGATATTTTTTATCTGCGTAACACTCGGCTCATTTGAAACATTCTCTGAACGGACAGGTTTTGGAATTGAGAGAGATGGCGGTTTCACGGCCTTTTTTTCGCTGCTAACAGGTCTAAAACCATTTTGAGGAACACTCTTACCTTTCATGATGTCACTGTATTTGAGCTTCTTGTCTTTTGCGTGTAGAGAAAGGCTGCTTATGTCCGGCACATTCTGAACACCCGGAATTATCGGGCTCTTCCTCGGCGGCGGCACGGTCTGAGGATGTTTTTTGACGTATGTGCTGGGTGCGCGCTGCGGAAGAGGAATCTCAGGAATCGGACTCTTCGGTGCTGAGCGGGGGAGCACGCTTTCAGTGCTTCCGGAATGATCTAATTTCACTGCGCTTGCACGCTGTTCAACGGCAGGTGCCCTTGGTTTGGCACCATCCGTCTTCTTCACGCCTTCCTTGCTTTCAATATACTCTACCACATCCCGGTCCTCAACGAATTTGGCATATTCCAAAAAGTAATTGATCAATTCATCGTGGAAGTACACGTCCTCTTCTTTCATCTTATGTAGCAGACTCATGTACACGCCAAGCATATCGCTGATGCACAACTGATCCGACAGCTTCCGAAGATAATCAAACTTTATCTTGAACAACATCTTCTTATCCTGCGCCATCTCGTAGATCTTCGCTATTTCATCAAAAGAGACCTTTCCGGCCAGCTGCCCGGCAAGCATGGCCAGTTCGTCCTTGCCAAGGTACTTCAACAGGTACTTGTAATCAACGATGTTGTTTTCCACCAAGAATTTGTAGTTGCCCTCTTTTACGCAGATGAGAAGGAGCAGCTTCAGATTATCCATCAGGAATTTTTTGTCTTCGTCCAATAAATACGCGAGCGGAACGTCAACAGTGTCATTTCGGCGCTTGATCTCGTCCCACCGCTTCTCAAGTATGAGCTGGGCTATCTCATCATCTTCCACATGCAGCTTAGGACCCTCGTACTCAACATCTCTACCCACGTTTGCCAGCAGCTCCTGCACATCCTTCTCCACTTTGTTCAGTCTTGCGTGTATTTTCTTCATTCGTATTTCTTTGTCACAGGTGTAAAAAACGGTGTTGTTCTTCAGGTAGCAGTTCAACGGTGGCCTGACGTAGAACAGAGACGAATTTGCAAGAACCGTTGTTGAACCGCTGAGGAGCGACAGAACAGCCAGTCGGCCATTCGTATTGAAATGGAACAAGTCACTCACCACATACTCACCCATATAATTCAGCAAATCGGTCTTCACATTTTGCATCCTTGCACCCTCTCCATGCTCGAACATCTTCAAACAGTTTTGGTCCCAGATGTACAGAAAATCATCCATCACCAAAAACCCTGTGCACTCCTCACATATTTTCGTCAATTTGTCGCTGCTCAGGTCTAGCACGCTGAGACCGTCCCCCTGTATGAATAGATAGGTGCTCGTGTGCGGATGCCACTCGACCCGTCTGAGATTAGGAAATTTCTTGTTTATCACCTCCTCCTTTTTCTTAATGTCGTAGATCAACAGCTGATTATCGATGCATGCCGCAATGATGTGGTTAACCTTCTTGTTGTACGAGATGGAGTTGGCACGGCCGGTTATACCAACGTTGTACGACTTGAAGGTATTCAGGTCCAGAAGTATGAGTTTATCGGCAGCAAGCAGCAGCATATTCCGCTTTTGGCTGTATGACAGAGCATTCACCACCACCTTTATGGACAGAACGCACTCAAGGCTGCGCGTGCTCTTTGAATTGTCAATCTCATCCAGCTGCTCTTCCACCATAGATGCTATCCTATAAATAACCATATCCTGCTCCAATGCACATATTACCATGTTGTCAACCACAAGAATGTCATTAAATCTGCCATCCATCTCCCTTTTTATCTTTTCGTTCGTTTTCAGGTTTACAATTATTAACTCGCTGTCATTCGAGAACGTGGGATCGAAAAGCTTTGATTTTGTGCCGAGTGCGATGTATTCGTGCGTAAGAGACGATAAATAGCGACTTTTGAGTAGCATGCTTTGTTTGATGGGGTAATTTAAAAAATAAAAAATAATATTGGGAAGCGTAATGAGGAAATGCATTTCGGTCTAGCAAAAGGAGGCACACGTGGTAAATCTGTGGAGATAGTAGTGTTGCAGCTTGTATTAAGGCAAATTTAAATGAATTATGTACTCTTGAACTTCCTGGTTCAAAGTAAGACAACGCTGTCATAAAAACGCTATACCTTGCATATTCCTGTTGCATCCGCAACAAAGCTCGCAGGCTTTTACCGCTATTTTTATGTTTGCTCAGGCTATTTAAGCAGAATGTGCGCTCAATTTGAAAGGCTATTGTGCCCCATCTATGAAAGTGCCGTATTGCTGTATTTCGTGGATACGACATCGAGAAGATCACATAAATTTATGCAACGATGTAAAAAGTTTTTGCACTCTCAAGAGCAAGTTTAATTAGCCATTTCAGTCTGCACGTTCGTGTGAGACTGTCTCTTACATTCTCGTGTTTGGGTTGCGTGTGATCCGTGCTGCTCATTTTTTGTTCCGCGGTACCGTGCTGTAGACGGTCAAAGCTGTTCGCCAATCGTATCAAGCGTGCAGCAAGTCCAACGCGCTATCTGTCAAATTTTTTATGATTGATTGCCCATAAACGAAATTAAATTGTGACCCCGATGAAAAAAGCGTCTTGTCCGGACGACGAGAAAAAGAGGCAGCTTATGGTGGTAAACCGTGCATCGGCACGGAGAAGCGCGCAGCGCAAGAGACAGTACATTGAAAACTTGGAAAGAGAGAATGCGTATCTCAAGGAAGAGAACAACGCAATGAAACACAAGCTAGAGAGTTGTAGAAAAATGTTTGCAGCAATGCTGGGCAAAAACACGAGTTCTCATTCAGTAATTAATATACCTTCTGAATACATTGAATCTACAATGGCTGACCGCTTATAGGATGATATGTTTAGCTGAGGAAAAATTGCAGATTTTACTGAGTTTGAGAAGCGATGTGATACCGAGTACTCTATCCTGTTTGACAGTAATTTTTAATGAAGAGTAAATGCCCTTTAATTGTTATTGCTTTCTTTTGTTCTGGTTGTCACGGCATGCCAAGGTTGACTCTGTCCATGCCTATGGCAACAAACTGAGTTATATCGTGTTCTTGATGGGTGGTAGGTGGCGCGCCATACTCGTTTAAACGTTGTTCCGCAAATATTCTTTAAGTGATCCTTCCGTGTTAACAACGAATAACTTGTCGTTCCACACCGAGTACCACCAACAACGGTGTGTGCTTATCTCCGTCGTTGGGCCGGTTGGGATAAAAGTTCGCAATGTTCCGCTTTTTACAGAACTCTTACACATGGATCACGCGAAGCGCCTGATCAGAGCAAACGGGCTCACTGCGTTTGATTCATTTTCTAAAAGAGCTAAATTAAATTCATGAAGTACTCTCACACCAAAGGACATTCAAATCAATGCACGCACCACCTTAGCACCGCTGATTCACAGCGCTTGAGGGCTGCTTGCAACCAAGCAAATCGTGGCATTTACCACACCACGATAAACACGTTTTGCACGGGAGTGCGTAAATGTATGAATAAGACCATTAAAACGCTACGGTACAGCACCAATACGGCGTACTACCAGCTTGCTATGCTCTATACGTGTGCAGAAACGTGCTACGATGTTCATCAAAGAGAAACAGAATGGCACGGTGCACTGACTTTTGTTTGCCTATGGCAGAATGAACATGAGTGGCGGGTTGAGGACACGACTTGGATGGTGGTGGCCGTGAAGTGATGAGGCACGTTACCAGGAAAAGGAAGAGCTGTGTTGGTGCGTACTGCCAAGTGCGTGTAAACGGAAAGGGTACCGATGCAACGTGCTTTACAGCTTTTATCACAGAGTTGGGTGAAATATCGGTTCAGTTTTTTGCCACGGACACCTCCTGGATGTGTAAAACGTAAATTTAGTTTATTTCACTCTTTGAATCGCCATTTAGTGGCAGAGTGAAGCCGTCATTGTAGTTCTGCTTGGTGGTTATTGCGTGATGAGATGAATAAACGTGCTTTTGGTGAAGCAATCTGGTTTATAGATTCATCAGCAGTGTCTTCAAAACGAGTGTATCGTGCTTTGTGCGGTTACGCACGCTTCTTCCGAGGATGTCAACCGCCTTCTTCCAAAATTGCATTTGATTACGCCACCTCCTCCTTCACTGCAACGCCATGGTACGACAGTACACCCTAAAGGTGCCTTTAAACACCACGCCAAGCACACAATGCGGTAGGTCAAAGGTGTAAGCGTCAGCTAAGCAAGAAAGACAGAAGAACTGGCAGAGTACAACCTACCGCACAACCTGTACCATATGAAAAGGTGCAACTGCGTAAAAAACAAGTTTTAATCGAACATCTCGAAGATTTGAAGAACCTCTGCCTTCTTCCCGGCCAAGATTTTAAAGTCGTCAAACGTTAAAAATCCGCTTTTGTTCTCCAGCTCATCAAAAATACCCGCAACAAACCTTCCCACGTCCACATCCACATCAAAGCTCGCACCTATCATGTCCAAAAACGCCTTTACAACCTTTATCATCTCATCCTTGCCCACAACCCCGTCACTGTCACAATCGTACAGCCGAAAGATCCATCTCAGCTTTTCAAAAATGCTTCCCTTCCGCAGGATGGAATGTGCGATCAACAGCTCGTTGAAATCGATTGTTTTCGTGCCGCTGATGTTTATCGTTCTGAATAAAATGAGCGTGAACCGGTTGCACTCACCAAATGGAAATAGTTTCTTGAAAATGATTTGCAGGTCCTTTTCGGTCATGTAGCCCGATGGATAGCTTGCATTGAATTCAGCGGACCATTTTTTTATGTCCGACTCGTTGAAGTGTGAGAACTTCTTCACCGTGGCAGCGGTCTGAAGAAGATTAGGACTTACTTTGTTGCCCATGGACCAAGGGCTACCACAACAAAAGCACTATTTTGGTGCAACTTAGGATTAATTAAGGGTGCTGGAGGCGGTCACAGTGTACTGGACGGGCCATAGTGCACACAGGCAGGCATAGGCTTTGCACCTAGCACACGACGTATTGAGCGAAGAATGCCGCTTTGATCCCTACAGCGTACCGGTGCGCTAAAATATGACGGAAGAGGAAAGAACAACCTCAAGGAGCAGAAATGGTCTGCTTGTGCGTTTTATGTCCACGCGATTTAACACACTTGAATTGAATAAGTGTGAGGAGCGCTGCAAATGCATGATGTGGCCCGAGTGTAAAGCGTAGGCACTCAGTTTCACCGTGCTACCGAAAAGCACCTTCAACTCAATAAATCAGAGTAGATTGCCAAATTAAATTTATTGAAGGTACCTGTGCGCTGGGAATCACCATTTTAAATAAACATCCGTTGCAAAGCATATTTCGTTAATTCCATCCGCTACTCTTGCATAGAACCACACCTAATGAACAATCATATGAGCAGACCAGCATGCTCTACAGCAATCCTTGGGCCAAAGGGCAGCAACATCGTGATAGAATCCAACAGCGTAAATATCCAATCACGCTCTACGTTGGAAGTGATACGAATATTTTCGTAAGATATTCTGGTGTAAATAACAGCTTTGAACGAATTGGTGCACGGAGCAGACACGATTACATATCGAGAGTACCTGGTAATCGGAATACGGTGATCTGATCACAAATCTTACACCTCGACATAAATATGTGCACCAAATTTCTGACATTTTACCTCTCATTTAATCAGTCCTATCTTTTCATACATATGTCAATTACACGTGCAGAAACGAATAACATCCAAATCGGTGTTTCTATGTAAATTGCCGATCTCTTTCTGTGCAATCATTACATGGTGTTCGTCCCTGCACCTGCAGCGCATCCTTTCGGAGCCTTTTTTTGTGTCCAACCGATCATAAAAACAAGAAAATGAGACCCTTGCGATGAGGAGGACTGCGCTAAGGAACGTTACGAACGAGGATGGAAGGAAAAATGGTGGTGGTGTGAGAGAGGAGGAAAAGTATGGGCGCGATGATGGCAAGCAGGTGGACACCTCATGTGTGGAAGATGATAAGAGGGATGATAAAGGAAGGGATCAGCTATGTGGCACAGTGTGCGCAGCAAGTCGGGGAATATGCGCGGGGTCTGTGCCCAGTGATGCGGCAATTTGTGGGACCTTGACAAACTGCGGTCTCGGTGCGGACAGAAATGGCAGGAAAGTTCTCTCAGAAAAGGACGAAAACACGCCTAAAACAAAAACATGGAAGGATGAACCGGTGATTGATCGGGATGCTCTAACCGATGAAGAGCGTTCCTTCCTCGAAATCATGGAGATAGATGCACAGAAGGACATCACCATGGAGCATTTGTACGCAGAGCACTTTTTTGCAAGATTTAAGGACCAGCAGGTGCCGGTCAACTACAATTACATGGTTTACCAGCAGGATCTTACGTGGCGCATGCGCACAATACTGGTAGACTGGCTGATAGACGTGCATTGGCAGCTTAGCCTACATCCAGAAACACTGTTTCTCACCGTTGATCTCGTAGACCGCTTTCTTTCTGTGCGCACGGTCTCGAAGAATAAATTGCAGCTTGTGGGCGTAACAGCGCTCATGGTGGCAGCGAAGTACGAGGAGGTGGACTGTCCGCAGTTCAGTACATTCCGCATGCTTATAAACTGCGATGCGTCCGATTTGATAAATGCCGAGCGCTACTTTCTCATGACACTCGATTTCAACCTAAATTACCTTTCGCCCCTCTGTTTCGTGCGCAGACTCTCTGTTGTGAACAACTATGAGATAAAGACGCGTATCCTCGCAAAATACATTCTTGAGCTGATGCTGCTCAGCGAGCAGTTCATCGGCTATAATGCGCATATAAGGGCGACCGCATCGTTTTATACTGCCCGCAAGATTTTAGAAATGGACGGTTTTCATAACTTGTTCTTCATGCTGGCGCGTCTCGACAAAAAAGTGATCAAGGGGTGTGTGAATGACATACTCGTGATGCTGGCCAGGCCTGTAAAATATGATAGCGTGAAGAGGAAGTATGGAGTGGAGAGAATGATGAGGGTGAGCGTATTTATTGAGGAGTTCAGGGTGAAGCACTTGTCGAAATATTTGTGAGATAGATTAGTAATAAGAATAGCGAGGAATGTTACGGATCGGTTGCGTATTGCGTTGGGACTGTTGAAGAGGGTCCTCCACGCTAACGTAAATAAAACATTCTATTACACCAATGAGGGTGTTCAGCGTGGTGGAGATGACCTGCAAATCGATCGTTAAATCGTGTGTATTTGCGTAGGTATTGCATATTATTTCGTATCTACGCTTTTACATCGCTTTAAATTCCTGCCACTCATTGTTTTTGATCCTCTTGATCGTTAATGTCTCAGATACTTCATTACACGCATAATATTTCCTTTGTTCCAGCAAATTCTGCGTATCTCACAATTACGCATAAAGGGTATTTATGCATTTAATTAAATCCATGATATAGCAATAATTAATTCGTATTCCTAATAAAATAGATGATGAAATGTGACCTTTTCACAGGTAATTTATTGAGAAAAAGTGAACTAACTTCAAAATAGAGTTCTACGCTTTATACGGTATAACCGCTAACTATCATACACCCACTACGCAATAATCGATATGCCAGATAAAATACATTGACTGCGTTCCTATCACATGTCATACCACTATACGCGCTGTACTGAGGTGTTATTACCTTGCTTGCACCCACGTTCTGTACCCAAGAATATTTTGATCGTGGGATGATCTGTTTCGTGATAATTTACACAACTCTTTCACAAGAATAGCTAAAAATGATCTTTCACACCAATGAAAAGCAAAGTTTTTGCACCCATTCCAATCATTTACGGCAGATTCGTGCTTTAATGGCTGGCACCAACAGCGCAAGCAAAGATGTAGGTAACTGCAACGGTGCAGCTCGAAAAAGTATCGTAGCTCTGTGTAAAACAATAAATTAACTCTGCTTTATTTTTACCTAAGGTGCGTGGCACACTCGCGAGTCGTAGGGGCACTGTAGTCAACCGTTTATAGAAGTATTTTTGATCTGCATGAGGATATCTCGTAAAAAAGTATTTTTGATTTTGTATAAAAGAACGTGCTACAACGCATAAACAACACAGCGTGGATGACCGATCGTGAATGTCAAGAGACTGTTCACAGACACGGTTAATGCCGCACAAAGGACCGTTCAAAAATGGGTGCTCCACTTCTGTCGCATAGCAACCATCACCAAACACGTAGCTCAACCGCAAACGGTTCAAAATCCTTCACAAGCGCAATTTAACGGATGTAACTCTCAGTGCCACTCCTGGAAGATGCACACGCTCAGGCTCTGCAATGCGTAGAACCTCAGATCATCGTTTGTACTCTCACACAGCTTGAAGAGCTCCGCTTTTAGATCAAACTTTTCGACGACCCGCACAACCTCAGGACATGTCTTTACAAACCGGTACAGGTCATTCGCTGCCACGCACTTGCTCTGTGTGCAGCCGCTCTTCAAGTATTTCTTGAGTGCTCGAATTATCTCGATCTTGTACTGCACCAGCGAGCCTACATTCATGGACCAGAACACATCTGAGAAGTGGTAAGGTGTCTGCTCCAGCTTGCCACTGAACAGTTCCTTGAGATAATTTTGGAATGAACCTGTCTTGACGAGCCTACCTTTGAGCACACGTACCACCTGTTCGATCGTGATCTTGAGCTCTTCATCCTCGTACCTCATGTTCGCAGAGTCATTGATTATGTCGTTGCACGTGACCAGGCTGAAGAAGAAACCGTTCTTCAGCAGGTTGCGTATGATGAAAAACGCTGTTCTCACCATTTTCTCGCAATCCCTCTTCTTGAGCAAATGCAGGAGGTGCGGAATGATCTGCTCGTAGTGCTTGGCCGTCTCTTTGCTGAATGACACGTACCACAGTATGATTGATGCGTTGTATTGCGCATTTCGTATGCCCATCAGATCTATGAGCACGCGCCTCACCCGCTCATTCTCTATGAAACGTATTCTTCTCTCCGTTACGTGTGCGTAGCTGTGCTCACGCTCTGAGAACGAAATGAACCGGTCTATGCTCGGTTTTGGTGCTCGTCTTCTTCGTGCGGTTGTTGTCACGCGAATTTCATACTCAGAGGTGCACAAACTGTCCACAGTGCTCGTGTCCATCTGCACACTCTCAGAGCTGCTCTCACACGCATATTCCAGCTGCTCCATCTCGAGCTGCTCATCATTTCTTCGCTCCAATCTCTCCATGAGCACCAAGCGCATGCACCTCAAACAGAAATTTACCTCTCTCAGTGCCATTTTCTCGCCAACATGAATGAAATATTCAATAATGTCGTGCATGCGCTCCGTTGCGTCTATACACAGCGCATAGAATGCTTTCAGCCTGATCTTCTTGTCCGAGCTGTGCAGATCGCGTGATAGAACGTCCTGCACCTCGTTGCGGCATTCGTTTCGTTTTTTGCATGGTTTGAGTGCTGCTGAAAGGTTCTGAGCATTGTTTTTTTCGTTGTTTGTCATCTCCGCGTGTTTTGTTGTGGTTCGTATTTAAAATGGGATGAAACGAAATGTTTGGAATGGAGACATTAATTTAGGAAATATTGAGCATGATAAATGATGAGTGCTGCTATGGAGTGAACACGGTGATGAGAAGTGAACACGGTGATGAGGAGTGAACAGCATGGTGATGAGGAGTAAAAACGGTGATGAGGAGTGAACAGCACGGTGATGAGGAGTGAACACGGTGATGAGGAGTTAATAGGAACAAAAATAGGTTGTCAATTGAATAGAGCTCGTTCTTCTCTTTAAATTATTCGTACCTTAATTGCTCATCCATTTATGGTAAAAACAGCGTCTACCACGCAACTAAAAATGCTATGGCAATCATCAGAACATATGAATAGCACATTCGCAACAATAAGCTCTTTCAAGAGCAACCACCAACAAATTAACAGCTCCTGACATAAAGGAAGCATTAAATGCACAATTCTAGCAAGTACACAGCAGCAACGTGCCAATGCATGTTTTGAATACCTCTAGATCTGCCGCTGTAACACGCCTGTAATCACTACATGCCGTTTTAGTGCTGCCCGTTCAAATGTAAATGGAAAGATGACAAGAAAAGAAACTTACACGCACTGCAAGCTCCTTACAGATGATCGTAAATACATTTAAGCATTAAACCACCAACTGTGGTGCGAATGCACTGCTGAGCCCTTTGACTGCAAGAACACCGCAAAATATTGCAATTACTCAACAAATAATCATAAATTCTCTTAAACGTACAAACATTCATTAAATGCGACACACAGCACTTAAATTGAATATTTTACATTTAAGAGGATTGGTGAGATGATTGCGCATTTTGGTATGAACTGATTACGAGCACTGACGTATCCGTGTGCGAAACGGGACCTATTCGAATACGTGCGGCATTTGCTGGAGGTAAAGCAAATGAAGTGCTTTAGCATGCTCTGTCCGAGAACACACCGCTAACTAAATACGTTCCTGATCACGCACATGTGGCGGGAACCACTTGATCACGGCATCACTTATACGTTTCGCAGTACTGCACGAACCATCTGCCAGATGCACACCCTGTCGGGTGTTTATCGCATCAAGAGGCGTAACAACACTCGTAACGAATAGTATGCCGTACACCAGAAAAACTGTAAATGTAGCAGAACGATCTCAAGAATACGATCAGTACCGGTCAGTGATTCGGTCTACCCCGTTTAACTTGATGATTAATAACGGCACATTACTATGACCGGCTCACTCGTGGTTTTACGCAGTCAAGGGCCTTCCATTATCCTGGAGAGATGCCCTCGTGTTGTGGCATCCGCCTAAAGCACCACGTTAACGGGGCATTAGCATAGGTGCACACGCCTCTTTAACGACAACAGATTGCTACGCACTGTGCACAGGTGCGTATTACGGAGCAAGCATGCCCGGTCCCATTCACCAAATAGGCTACTCGTGCTAAGGCCTACCACAAGACGGGCAGAGCATAGCAAAATGTTCGTTCACGCGGTTGTTCTACACGGCAGAATGAAAAAGCGGGCGCGATATCCGGTAACAGAAAAGGAAACACTGCGCTTTTGACTAAATTAAAAAATTTGTATCCAAAGCACACATGTCCAGCAGCAAGCCATCAAGCGGTACGTTACAGTTTATATCACGTTATGTGAAACTTAAAACCAGCAATTTATATTTCTGCATGGAAATTCTCCGTTTGAAACACCGCAAACTCATCCACCACTTGCAATGCTTTTAGCACCTTTTCAGCAATCCTTTGTTTCTTCGTGCTTTTGCTGCCAGCTCGTTTGTTCGCCACCTCAAGGAGGTGCAAAGAATACACTTTTCTAATCTTCTGGTGCTTGCGCTCACAATTCACCGCAAAAGTATGCGCCAGCACACACGATCAAATCGCTACGATGCCATACGTGCATGCGTATTGTGCGATAACGTGCCGTGTTTCATGTTCTTCTTCTCTGTGGTCGGCCGATATTATCGAAAATAGAGTTTGATTTGTGATAAAAATGTCATGGCGATAGGATGGACACGATCACAAGGACGAGTAGGAATGCGTGTTCAACTTGCATGGAGATAAACACGATGTGTTGTGCAAGCGAGAATGACTAGATGTTCGGGTATGTGTGCTATACTTTCTCTATCCTGCAGATTTGCGCAGATGACTTATTTGATGTTTCATCTATCAGGTACGTCAAAATATTCGTGTGAAAGCGGCAGGTCCTGCGCGCATTACGGCTGTGAGAAGTTCTCGCCTCAACTCGTATCTTCCTTTGTGTCCTTGTCAAGAATTTTTACCGATATGGAAGGATTTGAGCCGGAGATAGCACAAAGCAGCCACGGTTGAAAATCATCAGAATACCTGCATTTTATTTAGCACTTCGTTTTCCGTGCACACGCACAAACAAGTGTTCTGCCACGGTGTGTGCCCTGCAGTTGTGCACGATGTGACACATCGTGCCGGTAATTCCCGCTTCGCACCGCTTACATTTCCGTATTCTGTGTTTCGGTTCGTTGCCCCACCAAGTTTTTTTGCAATGAACGGCTCTGACCCCTATGGCAGGCAACCGATATTTAGAGTGCCGTGTTTGTCTCAACGTTTTGTACGAACCGGTGTCTCTGACATGTGGACACGTGTTTTGCTGGCCATGCATTTACCAGTGGTCAAGCACCAGCTCATGCTGCCCTGTTTGCATGCAGCGGATGACGGAGTATATTCCGTTGTACGTTGATCTGCCGCTGGATTTGGACAGGGAGGTTGATGGGCGTGTTCCGGCGCGACCGGATGCCGTGTGTACGATCAGGGACCGTGTGAAAAAGAGAAAGGCGCGCATGTGGAGCCGAAGGGGGCTCGAGATCTTTTTGATACTCCTTTTTCTGTACATTGGTTTTCAGCTTGCATTCAGGAGAGAGAAAGGGTAGTGGCGGTGATCTGATGTGTGTAATTGATGTTCGTATGACACAGTGGTGGCTGGGGGTGTGGTTTTAAACAGGTTTTAGATAAAACGAGAATTTATAGTTTGTTCAGTTTTTGCAGGGTTTCTCGTGATTTGTTAGTTTATGGTGCGATAAACTTTTTAGCTTGAGCCAGGTCCATGTCTGTCCGTTTCCTCTGCATATTTTTTTGGCCGTTTTGTACATTTTCGGGCAATTACGTGCTGCAAAGCACCTAAGAGCGCATCTGCATGAGTTCTGCAGTTTGGTAGAGCACATGGATGTGGGCACTATCAAGTGGTGACTCTTTTGCTACAGCCTTACGCACGGACAGGTACAGCACAAAGGTTTATTGCCTGTGAAGAGTGCCGGTAAACCGATAGATGCCGTTTCTGGTGGTAAGGAAGGATAATCGATTGTCAAAGCTTTTAATATTTGGTTGTTGAGCTACAAATCGTATTTCAGGAAAAATACGATGCCTTCCTTCAACGTTAGTTACACCTGAATGATTAAATAACAAGCGTACAAACACATCAAGTATACCTCACCACATCATACCGTTTTGATCGAATAAATGCGCCCTCTTACTGCGTCACAATTTCGGCAACACCTTATCAGACCGGCTATCAAAATATTATTCTTTTTGTTTTGTTGAAAGGGAGCGTACTGCATTCGTGGTAAAACACAGACAGGACGTACCAGGACCTGCTGTAAAATTAGGCTCCTTTATGATCGGTACGTCTTATGGTCGCGTTTTGACCACCGAACAAAGATAAAATGCACTACGGTCGTAATAACCACAGAATCAGAGACAGTTCCATAAACGGCTCAGAACAATTGACGTGATACAGCGAATGCAAAAATGGTGATGGTGACTGACCATTCTAGACGAACGTGCTATAACGGAACGAACTGTGAGATTAATGCTAGGCAGGTGTTCTATGATTTGAACGAACCGAGTTGCCAAGGCTACGCAAAAAAACGGAATTAAATTTACTTATCACCTCAGCTGAAGGCGTGCAAACTCTGAAACAAGGCTATTCCAATATGCCACAGTTACAGGTTGCCCCATCTTTCAATTTTGTGGCTTAGGACGGTGCGGCCGTACTTTTGGGCTCAACTGCTCAATTAACGTGCAATCGGGCGGATCCTTGCTGCATGGATCGCAATCCGCTTTTGAAGGACTTGATGCGGAGCGCGTTGTACGCGTACATTGCAGTTTTAGCTGTTCTGGAACGTGCAAATTAAACCATGGCTTGTGAAACAAACAAAAAATCTTTAATGTTTCACATCTAGCAATCGAACAGGAAGACTGCCATTTAATTTGCGAATCAGAACAAAAACCGTGTGCTGATTTGCACAGAAAACAGCGGTCTGAAACAGCGGGAACACAACACGTAAAATGTAATCGCGTGTTGTTGATGCTTTTGAGTGCTCATGCCGGTATTAAATGAAATAACACTTGAGGTGCGCTTTTCACGGACACATGCAAACGTTTTGGAAGGTCTCATGTTCTGTTCCCTTTCAACTCCTCATCGTTCAGTCTCCAAACGTATCGGTGCATTGTTACGGTTTGTTTGTACTATGCGATTTGATTTACGGTTCATTTACGATCCCAGCAGTGCCTTAATCACCCGTTCCTGCCAATCACTCGTCTCTGCTGTTCTATCGTGCCGTTCTCTGCGAAATCATCAAAATTTTGTTATCTCATTCACATCCCTGCGTATCCCATCAAGTGATATGGCCCGTTCTTGTCTTACACCAATCACCTCTACCATCTGCAAGCATATCGTTCCCATGGACAGGTTTGTACTAGCCCGGTCCACCCATGCACATCGACAGATGAGCACCAATCGTCTTAAAAAACAACAGACATCCATCCATCATCCCTCATATCGTTGCTGCCTCTTATCCACAGCACTTTATTCGTCTGTCAACACATCACGCACCATCGCACGTGAAACAAATCACGTAAAACACCAAACACAAAACATCTCATCATCTATAAAAGCGGCACAAACATAACAAAACAATGAAGAAGAGCGCACATATTTACACGTTCTACGGTATCGCCGTCATCGTTCTCCTGCTTGTGCTCTACGTATTTGTGCACAAGCGAGCGGTATACAACCCGGTCGTGGAGATGAAGAGGAGTGCCATGCTGGACGAGCTTGAAGAGGAGAGAAAGAGGAAGGAGGAGAGGGAGAAAGATGCAGAAAAGGTAAAAGATGAGAAACAGTGGAAGGATGGCGACAGGAAAGATGCGGAAAAGGATTACAACGACAGTACAGAGCACAGGGACAATATGAACATGGGCAACACGGACGGTGCGAACAGATTGTACGACAGCCTGTATGGAAGACCGTACGACATGTACAGCAGCCTGTACGGTACGCCGCAGACCAATGCATCATTGAACGACTCCTACCCGTACTCGAGCACGAACGCGTTGCCATCTTCTGATCCATACGGAGCAGGCGTACCACCCCAGTTCAACAACGCATACAGCAGTCCAATGGATCCACCGATGGATGACAACAGCGGTCAAATGACGAGGGAATCTGAGGAAATGCTGAATTCGCTTGCACGGGACCCGATGTTCAACCTTACAATGTTCATGGGCATGCTGAACAAGATAAAAGATGAAAACAGGGAAGAAAGCACGACCAATAGCAATGAGGATGACAGCAAATCTTATGTCAGGTCGCGGTATGTACCGCCCAGTCTCATCACACTGCCTGGTCGCTACAACTTGGGATTGAGGAGACCGGGTGAATCCATTTTTGGTGAAAATGTTGGTGAGCAGCTGGGTGTACCGGGCACGAATGATACTGAAAGAACAGCGGGAATGAACAACGTGGTCGGTATGAGCGTATCGGGCGGAGACGAAAGAAGTAAGAACAACTTGTCTCCTGTTGATCCGAGCGCCTCTGGTGAAAATGGTAAAAAGAACGATTCAATGGGATCGTCTTACGGTAACTCATCGGGAACAAGCGTTTCAAACAAAGATGGAAAAGACAAAAAGAAAGAAGATGAAGGCGCAGATCCATCAATGCTTAGAGATGCTCCCATGACGAGAGGAAAAGATGATAAAGACAAAAAGGACAAAGAGAAGAAAAAGAAAGAAGGTATGACGCCATTACCGTTCGAAATTTCGGAATTGAGCATCCTAGGTGGAAATAGAAACGAGGATAGGAAGAAAAAAGACAATAAGAACGCGATGCTTTCGCCAGTGAGTAGTACACCTAGCATGCCAGGTACAAATCTCTCGAACAAGGGAGATAAGAATGCAAGTAACGATAATATGGTATCATCAATCTTAAGAATTACCAGCACTAACATCTCTGATAATAAGAAAGACAAAGACAAGGACGACAAGAAGAAGAAAGACAAGAGCGTCTTACCATCGCCTTTCGGAGTTTCTGAGATGAGCATTCTGGGCAAGGATGACAAAGACAAGGACGACAAGAAGAAGAAAGACAAGAGCGTCTTACCATCGCCTTTCGGAGTTTCTGAAATGAGCATTCTGGGCAAGGATGACAAAGACAAGGACGATAAGAAGAAGAAAGACAAGAGCGTCTTACCATCGCCTTTCGGAGTTTCTGAAATGAGCATTCTGGGCAAGGATGACAAAGACAAGGACGATAAGAAGAAGAAAGACAAGAGCGTCTTACCATCGCCTTTCGGAGTTTCTGAGATGAGCATTTCTGAATCCAATAGAAGGAATGATAAGGCAATGGACAATTCTAAGAAGCCTATGATGAAAGATGCCGCAAAACGAAAAGATAAAAAACGATCTGATAATGAACCAATGGTGGACAAAATAGTTAGACAAGCTATATTCGTTGCGATCGGTAGCACCGGTGGTGAAAAGGGACAGGAAATGCCTGGTTCTGGTTCTGGTTCTCTCAGCGGAGGTGATGACACAAAGAGTATGCCAAGTAATAATTCTCACAACACCAGCATGGGAAGCATGCCCAGCACTGATAGCAGAATGGGAAGCATGCCCAGTACTGACAACAGCATGGGAAGCATGCCTGGTTCAGACAACAGCATGGGAAGCATGCCTGGCACTGATAGCAGAATGGGAAGCATGCCCAGTACTGACAACAGCATGGGAAGCATGCCTGGCACTGATAGCAGAATGGGAAGCATGCCCAGTACTGACAACAGCATGGGAAGCATGCCTGGCACTGACAGCAGAATGGGAAGCATGCCTGGTTCAGACAACAGAATGGGAAGCATGCCCAGTACTGATAGCAGAATGGGAAGCATGCCCAGTACTGACAGCAGAATGGGAAGCATGCCTGGTTCAGACAACAGCATGGGAAGCATGCCCAGCACTGACAGCAGAATGGGAAGCATGCCCAGCACTGACAGCAGAATGGGAAGCATGCCTAGCACTGATAGCAGAATGGGAAGCATGCCCAGCACTGACAGCAGAATGGGAAGCATGCCTGGTTCAGACTCAATGAATCGTTCTACCTCATCTCAGAATAGCCGTGATGGATCATCCGGGCAAGACCTTCTCAATTTTTCAATTCTAGAAAACGGCCGAGATCGACCATCACCATCCTCAGACAAAAACTTGCTCAAGGACACTCCGCAGGAACAGGCACACAAGAAAAAGAAAAAAGAAGAAAAGAAGCCTTTCCTCAACAGTTACGAGTTGTTTAGCAGCATCGATGGCAAGAATAAGGATGACGACAAGGAGAGGCACGGCAACCCTAAATCAAAAACTGGCCAGACTGATGTCACAGGAGGTATGTCTGGGAATGCAGAGATGTTGATGACCGATGGCGGAATAATCAAACCGGAGAATAGTACCAGGAACAATGGCACAGAAAAAGACACATCGATGAGAGGTAACGAATCTGATGCTTCATATTCATCGGGACGTTCCGGTGTTGCAAAGCCATCAGCTCCTAGCAAAAAGAAGGATATGCCGTCCAACAAGGACAAAATCTCAGCCAATTACACCGAGTCAACGCCGATTTTCAGAGAACCACCCGTCTACAATCAGGGAAACAAGAAGAGCAAGCCGAAGAGCAAACAAGTAGTACCAATCATAAAATTTAAGGAGCTCAAGGATGAGATGGACGGAATGGACAAACTGATCGATGAGGTAAACGGAATCAGAGACATGAAGGAAAAGGGATTTGACAACATGGGTGGAAGCATCGGACAGACTCATGACAGTGGAAAAAGCGGCAAAAATGGCATGGAAGATCAAAGAGACGATAGGAATACGATGAACGAGAAGTCCGAAGTATCCGATCTCGGAGAAAAGCTTGCATTCACGAAGGTCCCATCTACGAGCACACCTGCAGAAGCACCGGCAATGGAAACAACACCGTCCATAGTGGTAACACCTGGACAACCGGCCGAGAATCAGAGAGTCACAGTGAGCACAACGACCATGCCGACTAGCTCAGGCAGGCACTCACATCAAAAGCTAAGACACAGGGGCACGAAGATGAGGAAGAGCAGGAAAGCGAAGAAAGACAGCAAAATGATGGATAGTCCTGTACACGATGAGGGTTTCTTCGATCTGTTCACACCTGGTGAAAGCAGCGGTAGGAAAAACGATGAAAACGATAACAAAGACAAGAATGAAAGGACGAAGCGTAAGCACCACAAGGGGAAGAAGAAGCACAAGGTTATGCAGCCACAAGTTTTCAGCGACAACGATGAAGAAGAGAAAGAAAACGATAGCAATGGCCACAGGGATGCTGAGCCCATGGTTGTCATCAACGAGTTTCAGCCGAGCTTGCAGAGTGCTGCAGATACGCTCAGGACAGGACAAGAAAAAGTCAAGAGAGAGACAAAAAGCCGGAACATTGTTGAGGTTAAAGACGGATCCGATGATTTTGGGGAGAAAATGATGAGCTGATAGAATGTCATCAATAAAGGAATAGTTTTAGTACTTTACACGCCTGTCTTCACCATAAAGAGTCTCTGAGGCACAACTTTGCCCGGCCCGTATGTTTCCTATTTCCGAACTGTAAATGGTATTTCTGCAAATCCTGCGCGGACGGATCTGTTCACCCGCGATTTTTCCTTGGTAATAAAACAGCAGGCACACGACAAATAAACCGGATCAGTTCCTGTTCAATTAAACAGGCAAATGCGTGCTCATCAAAAGGATTGGCGTTAAAAGCTCTAAAAACTGTTATTAACGTAAATGGTGTTGTTATACAGGCATAAAACACGTAGAATGCTGTATTTCACCTCATTTATGATGTATACGTGTGCAACAATGAATGCAGTGCCGTATCAATTGATAAAGACTGAATGGTATCAGCACTACCAAATTACATTTAATGCGCCTTTGATATGAAAATATCGAATACACTTGCCTACGAGATTGACGAATTCTGCTGCCAAAAATGGAGCAGCGTGCCTTAGTATACAAATAAGTGATGAGAATTGTTGTACAGGCATCGTTTAAATTACGTGGCCGCTGGTCTAACAAATACTTTCAGAGACCTACTAGCAGTTTGGGGTGAGCCTGTTTAGTTGGCGTAGAATGCGAATCCTCTCAATTAAGCAGGTTCTCAAAAAGCGTGCACGGCTCTTCAACACAACAAATTATTCAATTTACATGATAATTCTGCAATTTACGTGAATTAAGGACCAGTCGTTCTGTTTGATCAACCAAAAATATTTAGAAGGCTCTTTAAGACTATCATTCTGTGGCTACGCCCATAGTTAAAACAACTTCTTCGCCATATTAATCAATATAACTCGCATTTATTCAACAATTTGAACATCATCGCCCTCATAGCAATACTCAACCTCGTAGTCATCCACGCTTTCTTCACCCACCAGGATCTTTTCAACGCCTATCATGCACTCTCTCGCTCCACAAAAGTACACATTTACCGGGAACACCGAGTTGTCGGCAACAAACTCAATGTTGTCTTGGTTCTCCTTACTTCTCCAAACCACAGCATCCTTGCACTGCCCGCTCGACAGCTCGCTTCCCTTCGTATTGAAGCGGAACGCAATTTCACCCAGATCACTCATCTTTTCGTAGTCCATCATCACATTAATCCTCTCTTCATTCTTGGTAAGCCATAGATTGAATGTAAAATCGCTTGTTTCCGCTTTTCTTGTCCATTTCACCAGCGCAACATATTTGTTGATAGGAAAACTCTTCTTAGCCTTCAAAACCTTCTTCTTGGCACTGTCTTTTAACAGATTGGGTGAGTACTTCACCGGATGTGGTGCACGTATTTCGATCGATATGTCCTTAAACAGTTCGTCCTTTATGTACATTGTCATATCACCGCTTATCTCCCCACTTTTCTTGTTGCCTTCCTTGTCAACCACCAGATTAAGTCTTTCCGTAATTTGCAGTTGTATTTTCTTGCTCGGTGTTTTTCTGCGCTCTCTCCTAATTTCACTCTTAACCTTTGCAAAGGTGTCAATGCTGTGTATCCTGCTGGGTGCCTGGTCTACAGCACCTGCCGAGGGGTTTGTGACCGTGATCGACGGGTAACTAACGGGCGGAACAACGCTTACATTACTGGATGGATGAACACCACCCTTCACGTTCATCGTCTTAACCTTCTCACTTATCTCCTTCATAACTTTTTCATTCTCAATCTCCTTGTTCTTGGTCACCATCTTATGCACCTTCTCCTCGTAGCTGTCCATCTCCCTGATCACCTTCAGGTTGTCAGCGCTCAGCCGGAAATACGTGTATTCGTTCACAACATCATCAAAGGCACCCACCACGTCTTCAAGCGAAGAAAAGCACGTGACAGTCCCCATTATAGCCTTCAGTATCGCGTACATGTCACTCTCGTAACATTTTTTGCTTGCGATGAGTGCACATGTCAGTGCATCCTGTGTGGTGTAGTATATGTTGAGGTTATGCGTGTGTATTACGCCCTCGTCATGTTTCCTTGCGGTGTTGAACGCGAGAAGAAGCGTTTCAAATGCTGATTGTGTTATTTTCTGGACGGGACGGAATATTATGTTCTGGTTCTGTTGAACGAACGTGCACACAATCATAAGGGTAAAATAATTAAAAGTGTTATATGACAGAAAAACTCCCTTCATCACAGAATAAGCAAACGATTCACAGTACACACATCGTGGATTTATCGCTGAGGATGTGATCAATTCATGTTGCATGCAGTGAGGCATTTAAAGGCATATCATTTGAGTACACGCGTTGCATCATTGGACAGGAACTATTCTTGGCCCGTAAGTTTGCACAGTGTTCGTGTTCTGCAATAAACAGTATTAAACTGTTGTATAAGTGGTTTATGTTCATTCGCGTGAGATTTATCCGTTTTACCGAAGTACCTGCTTGTAAACATGGTTACTTTGAACACATCACTTGTTCCACACCAAATCACACGGATCATCTTCTTTTCAACCGAAGAATCAATGATTGATTCTTAGCAATCATTGTTGATCCTCTAATCGTAGTATTTTCTGTTTAAAAGTATCAAACAGAGGTGCACTGCATAACACTTTAGAGCACGGTAACTGATCACACCACAACCCTGTGTACGAGTGACCGTCCAGAACAATGAGTACGCATTTTCACGACCTCAGGACAACAAAAATTCTTCTATCACATCAGTATGAGCACGTCCTCTAGTATTTGCTGCCATGCCTGATTCATTAATCCATTTTTAGTGCGAAAGGAACAAATCACTTGCCGAGTATTCCTCTACCACGGTTAGAAAGTTTTGTTTTACGAATGTGTGATAGCCGTAAGTAAGGTGCACATGCAACAAAGATGGTGCTGTTGGTTTTTATCTGCTGCGGAACGAAAGCTGTTTCTTCGTTTTACCGTTCCTGTTTGAACACCATACCGTTGCACCTGCTGCTCTGCCAACTGCAGGAAAGTAGGAAACCATTTTTCGTGTTATCACTCTTTGCGAATGCCATCTCAACACGGTTCCAGACCAATTATGATGTGCCATCACAAAAAAATATTTTTTTTGCCTACCCTCACAAAAGCACAATGGCAGTACCAGTACAAGAGGCTACGAAACGACGCACCTTCAAGAAATTTACGTACCAGGGCGTAGACTTAGACGATTTGAAGACGATGCCACTATGCGATTTAAAGGAGCTGTTTCCCAGTTCGTTTCGCCGCCACGTAAATCGTGGCTTTTCCGAGGAGGAACATATGCTGATCAAGCAGGCAGAGAGGGGTGAGTCGGGCATCAGAACGCAATGCAGGAATATGATGATTCTGCCGATTATGGTTGGGAATATCATCGGTGTTCACAACGGATGCAATTATGTTGAGATTGATGTTAAGCCTGAGATGATAGGAAGACGATTTAAGGATTTGGTGCCCACTAAGACTTCGAAGGCGCACGGCAAACCAGGTGTGGGTGCGACAAGTTCTTCCAAGTTTGTGCCGTTGAAGTAAAATCATCTTTTTTAAGACTTGGAGTGCCTGGTGGTCTGTTCCGATTCTTTCAGGAACTCTTCTGGCGGGCGGACCAAAGGCCCTGATGCCATGCCCCGGCGACGGCATCTCCAAGACCCGGAGAAGCTGTGTTGGCGAAGCAATCAGCGGTTTTGTTGTCATTTTTAGATGAGCCGTTCGACCAACGTAGCTTCCACCTCTTTCCGCCTCATATCTTCCCTTGTCCAATAGGTTCCAACCAAAAGGTGTTTTATTCGCCGTACCTATCTCCTGATCAATGTATCATTTTAATTTGTTACCTTTCATCCGTCTTTTTTACCTTTTTAGTTTCATCTTCCACTCTTTCATGCTATTCTTCATTTTTATACGTAACACGAGCTTTAAGGCAGCGATACGCATAGATAGGCTCGGTGCCTGTCACGAGGACGTAATGCTGGCAGACAAGTCTGACGTATTTAGCAGAACACATGATGAGGTGACTATGAACAGAAAAACGTGTGCAAAAGATGAAAAGGTAGCGCTAGCAGATTATAACACGGGTGCATGCACAGATTTGGAAGATTTTATGGCTGATGACACCGAGTGCGTCATGAAAGCAGGTAAAATCGAGCACACGTATCCTTCAAGCATAGATCTTTCGATTTTTCTGTTTAAAAACTTTAGTGCACACCAAAAACGCACGTTTCTTCGGACATATGCCCGTATTTACAGCGCAATCGCGCCTCGACTCTCAGTTCTGGACAGAGTAGTAAGGCGCACCTCAAATGACAAGAAGGAACAGCTGGCACATTACATGACTGTGCATGTTCTGAGGTATGGGAATGTTAAAAGGAGGATGAGGTACGCTTTTAGATGTGTGTATGGGTGTAACGAGGTTGTGAGCATGGTTCTGAGCGTTATCGGGTTTGTGGTTAATCTTTGGTGTGGCTGGGGAGTTTTACGAGAAAAAACAGAGAAGAGACGAAGAGTGATACGGGTGCAAATACCGGTAGGAATGCAGCGACCGGTAGAGAGCACACCAGCATGATAATCGATAAGGACGTGCAGATCAATACCAATGGTACAGGCACCGTTGTACAGGAGTATGCCGTGCCGGTGATCGTGTCAGAACACGTGATGAAGAGCAAACAGAGGGGAATGAACATCAATTTGGTAGTTGAGGGGGAGGAAAGAACTGAAATGATGCTGCTCATGGCAAAAACGAAAGTAAAAGATGAAAACGAAAATGCGAGTGGTGCCACGCTCATGGCAAAAACGAAAGTAAAAGATGAAAACGAAAATGCGAGTGGTGCCACGCTCATGGCAAAAACGAAAGTAAAAGATGAAAACGAAAATGCGAGTGGTGCCAAAGAACATGCGCACAGCAACCATGCCAATAACAGAGTGATGACCGGTAACACAGAAACTGCCCATGAAACCGAGCAAGCGCCGTTCATACGGTCGTACCTCACGCTCATAAAGGTGCAGTGCACGATAAACGCCCTAACATTCATGTCAAGCATACTCCTACACATCAACGATACGCCTCTCACCAAGCGACTCGATTACTTCTTCGTGCTTCTCTCCATTCTCCACGCATGCCATACGTTCGTGGTAAAGCTGTCGTATCTCTACGGCACACCCCGTCCCAGCATTTTCGTATCGCTCACGCTATTCTCGCTGATAACGGCCAAGCACCTCTTCTCGTTCAATCCCACACTGCTCAAATACACGTGCGCACTGTTCATTTCGTTCTTCTGTGCTGGTATGCTGTTCGAATATTTCAAGGTGAGAACACCGTTCATCGCTGTGTTCGTGTGCCTTACCATCCTGTGTGTGGTGGTTGAGGGCTTGGATGTAAGACCAATCGTTTTTCTGGTCGATTCACATGCAGTGTGGCACTTCTTGGTGATTGGTCAGATGGTTTTGTACTACCGGTACCTGAAAATTGATTTAAAGAGGATTTTGGTGCGAGCTGGCAGAGCAAATGAATCTTAGGATCATTCCATGAGCCGGCAAAAGAAATGAGTTGGTGAGTCATCATACATAACTCACTCATACAACGAGTCAAACACTTATTGCATAGGCAGGCAGCGCATAATAAGCCGGTGTATCACTCGTTATGCAGGTGATTTGCTTGGTCTTAGAACGTATTTTTGTTGTGCACCTTGCATAAATTAAATATTGCGCTTTTATACGATGTACCCGCCGTGTTACTCCACAAATATTCATTTTCATACCACGCGAACTGCAAGCAACCACATTCTACCATTTTTACAAGTTTTCCGAGAGAATCGTCCTTTACTTATCGTTGTTGCAGAGGTACGGTAAGTAACAGCTGTTTGGGAGTTCCTCTCAGAAAAGTAAGCAAATTTATTTCCTATGCTACGCCCTAAATGCACAACAAAACGGTAGCAAAGAATTTACGATTAAAACATCGGTCTTGGTTCATTTGCCGTGAAATTTGAATTGGTAATACGTGCGGAGGAACGTAAAGATTGCCTGCATGCGATGTTTACCCGTCAAGAACGGGCAGCATACCGTAAAATAATGCAGGAACATCGAAGCGTACGGTTTGTGTTGGAGACTTTCAATGCCGTGCTAAACACGCCCTACACGTAACCGCCGATCAAGTACTTTCATCAATTCTTCTCTACGCTACGAACCTGATGGTACGTTTTTCTCTTATCTAGAACGTGATCAAAGATAAGATGTTGTGGACGGTGCTGCTCACGGTTCAGAACGGTGTTTTAGTGCAAATAAATATTTTTGACATCTGTGGCTGAGTATGGGATCTTTACTACCTTGATTTGATGGAATGGGCCTGTGAGAGTGATTTATAACGCTACACCCTACGCTGACTCCGTGAATAAGTGGGAGGAATGTTTGCCATTCATTACATGCTGTGCTTTACACAGCTCCACCGCTAAAACTTTTACCACCTCCTCTGTGCTTTACACAGCTCCTCTGCCACTAAGCCCTTGCCATCTTTCGCTCTGCTTGAAGCAAATCCTCTACGTTTTACGAATTTTATGCGGCAGCCCTTCCATGGCAGTGTATACCTTCGGTTCAAACCTTTTATCGCAGTTAGGCACGGGTGAGGAACCGGGACATTCCTCAAAACCATTAGAACTCGCTTTATTCTCCGAAATGAAGGTTGACAAGGTGTGCTGTGGTAGTTTGCACACCTTGATCCTCAGCGAGGGCATAATTTATTCGTTCGGTTGCAATGATGAATTTGCACTGGGCCGTGACGGGGATGAGAACGTACCACTGCGCATAGAAGTGCCTGAACCGGTCATTCACATCGGTGCAGGACAGTCTTCCAGTTTTTGCGTTGGAAAAAGTGGCAAGCTGTACGGATGGGGCACATTCAGGGACAAGAGCGGAGTTATAGGATTTAGAGCGAACAAAAAGTTTCAGAAGGCACCTGTAGTACTGCACAGAGGACCTGTCAAGCTTTTGGCGGTCGGCAGTAATCACATTCTTTACAGCGTGAGGGGAGAGGTGTATGCGCTTGGAGCTAATGAGTTTGGCGAGAAGGGAGTTTATAAGCGTAGGAGGATGGGAAGAAGCAGCGAACTTGGACCTGTGTTGGTTGCTAACAGGCGGTCAAGGTACTCCAAGTGCTCGAAGATGTTTTGCGGCACGAGCACGTCTTTTATGGTGAGTGAAAAGGGGGAAGCGTTCGCGTTCGGCCAGAACGGCAACGGGCAGCTCGGACTGGGCGATAAAATGAGCGGAATAAGCAAAAGAACTGTGCCTCTTGAACACATACATGGCATATCAGGCGGTGAGGTGCACACGCTCTTCACCACCAAGGATAAGAAGTTGTATGCGGCAGGTCATAACATGTTTGGACAGCTTGGAACAAAGGATAACGCAGATAGGGACAGCTTAACACACATTGACCTGGCGAACGTGAGGATGGCGAGGACAAAAGGCTTTTTTTCGGTCGCATACACCGATGACGGGATGTACAGCTGGGGATTCAATTCGCACGGTGAGTGTGGCTATGCAGGCCAGGACAGCAATGCCCCGAAGAAGATGGAGATAGACTTTGAAGAAATTGTGAGTTTTGATGTTGGACACGATTTCTGTGTGGTGGTTACGAAGTGAGAGACGTGTGAAAGCAATTTAATAAAAACGCTCTGTGACCAACCGTTTTATTACACCTGTGCAGCATTGCCAAGACGCATTCCCTATTTTGCTCTTCGGATGGCTACGCCCATCAGTCCGGTTTTAAAAACGAATCGCTTTCATTTTTGATTTCGGCCCATTCATCGTTTAAAATGCTGTCATCCCTGTCCCGAGCTGCTCGTGGTGCACTTATCTTCACGATCAGTCCTTCCAAGGGCAATTTCTGCTTTTTGAACCGCTTCTTCATCCCAGGGTATGCCTGAACAGAACGTATTAGAACGCATCATCGATCGATCAGAACATGTTAGAACGCATTGCTGCTCACAGCATGCTAAGTGAACCCGCCATATCTTCAGTACAAGGCGATAAAACGCCGATTTGTCCAAGCGCACCACGAACCAGGAACGAACAATTAACCGGATAGACACCGAATAGGCATAGCAGACCGTTCATGGCGAACTTATCCTACGGTTATCACCGCACCGTTCCCCGCTCGCATCATCACTGCTTGTCCACGCACCTTCCAGCGCATAAGATTCAAACTTACAATCTAGCACCTCCTTGCAGTTCTATCCCATAATTTGTTCGAATACGGCCATTGGCAGAGCTGTGCAATGGTGCTGCATTCTTCATCACCTGTATTTCCCTGTGACTGAGGTGGAAAAGCAAATTTTTAATTCCTGGTGATGTAAGGGAACAAGCGAATGAGAGGATCTCCGATGTGCGTGGGGGTGTTGCGAAATAAATGAGCATGCTTTGACTACAAAACGGGGAGCACGCTGAACAGCAAAACAACCACAAGAGAGGTACTTACCCCTTTTAATGCCACGTATATTTTCACAGCAGCTTCCCTCAAAACTTTTATTTACTAACGATTCTATTTCTACTGTGGAAACGTATCAGCCTTGCGAATGCTTCTGATAGGTGTACATGGACGTGTTGCCAAAAAATAAAAATGTTTTACGGGAAAGTGCGCTTAGACTTGCTCGTAAGGTATGGCATTGCGTACCATGCCAGCGTTTTGTACCTCTAACAAAGGAAGTACGTTCTTTTGATACTATATGGAGCGCTCTAACGTGGTAATACGTATAACCGATTGTGTGAACGTTTCACTTCTCATTTGTTCTGAATGAGCTGTTCCACCGCTAATTAAGGATCTACCTGATCATTTTTTGTGGCGTGCCTTAGTGTGCAATTTTGGGCACGGGTCCGTGCACGGTACATTCTTGCATCTTTTCTTCTCGCCGTAGGGAAACGAAAACAGTTAAATTTTATGAACGCCCTTCACACAGAATACTTCAACTGCATGAACATTTTTCATGCTAGAACAGCAGCACCGCCCTCAACCGTATTATTCGGTACCATGCCCACATCCTCGATTGATCCACAAGCCGTTTTAACCAAAAATATTTTTTTATCCCCTCAGAATGAAACTAAACACGAGCATCTCATCGTCACGCCGCAAGCAGCGCAAGAAGCACTTCAACGCCAAATCAACCGATCTAACCAAGCAGATGACCGCTCCGCTCTCAAAAGCCCTGAAAGAGGAGATCGGCATCAAGCGCATACCTGTCCGACCAAACGATATTGTTCTGGTGCGTGTTGGCAAGTACAAGAAGACAGAGGGCAAGGTTGTCAAGGTGAACAGGATTGCGAGGAAGATTTGTGTGGAGGGGGTGTCCATCACAAAGAAGGATGGAGCGGTGCGGTACCTGGGGGTGCATCCTTCTAATTTGTCTATTGTCAGGCTGAGCATGGAATACGACAGGAATAAGGTGATTGAGAAAATTAAAGGACAGTAATTTTTATTTGATAAGTTGTTTGGTTTGCTTATGAATTGGGTGTTGGTCTGAGAACCGTGGTTTTAACAGAAATTTATAGATTTTTATGAATCGAGCAGTGATGAGGAGGACATTCTTGCTTTGTGGTGTGTTTGCGTGCTATCAAGGGGCATTCATCTCTTGACGAGAATACCGTTACAACAGCAGGACTGAAAACGTAACGAACACTTCCTTGCGGTAGGGACCGTTCTTTGTTCTACCACGGTATCAAAACAAGCATTTCGTTCCTATGCTGTGCTCCCCACCGCTACAGCTTTATTTGCATTACCACCGCTGGTAGCTCGTTTCATCCGCCAGGCTAAATTCACCTATCGCAACCGCACCTCTCCGTGCGGTCATACGTTCCGCTCGGTACCGTGAGGCGCAGCCGCTGCGGTAGGTGAAAGTCCCAATAAATGATTTTCAAAAATATGCTTCGCTACAAAAAAGAGTAAATTTACTTTAATGACGCACGCTCTGCTACACATCATTGGGCAGTACGCATGCCTTGTACCTCATCTCCTACCAATTAACACGTTGCTGTTCTCCATCAGTCCTTTTTGATCAACATATTCCTCAGCAGCATGATCCTTTCTCTTGTATGCTCATCATACACTGCAAGTTCCTCTTCTTTGGCCTGCAGAATGTGCATCAGCACGTGCTCTTTTCCTCCCTCAATGCCCATTCCCCTGCCCACGATCTCACACACCCCCTCCTCATCAACAAGCCCCAGCTTCACCAACGCGCCCACCACCAGCGCACAAAAATGCTCGTTCCTCAGCATCCTCCTCAACTCCCCCGTATTGTTCACAGCCATCGTCTTCAAATACTTCAACACGTCCAACAAATTAACCTTATCCATCTTCTTGAGCACGTCCTCAATCTTCCACGAACTATTCTTGCGTTTCATGTCATTTTCAGCGTAATTTATCTTTACCTGCCTGTTGTTGAACGATATGTTGAGCGTTTTGACTGCCAGCTGGGCGATCTCCTTGTTTTCATACTCGCAGAAGCCGTAGCCTTTGCTCTTTTTTGTCTTGTGATCGTATACCATGCGAAATGATACCACACGGCCTATTGTGCCCAGCTGTTCTATTAGTTTTTCCTCGGGCACGTCAAAGTCTATGTTTCCTACGAACACGCTGCATCCCTTTTTCATGGGGTAGAACGAACAGAACCGTAAATAGGCCGTAAACGGAGCGTAGCAACAGATCGGCCACGGATGAAAGCCGTTTTATGAGCATGCCATGATTATGCAGTGAGTAAGGCAACCGTCCCATTTAATATGCTTATCGGCAGGATCGGAGCCATGGTCACTCCCAGCGGCCAGGAGAGCGTACCTGCTCGGAGATAAACAAATGCGTTTTTTAAAATGTGCGGCCATGTTTTTGGAATGAAGAAAGCACCCGCTCATAAAATACTTCGTTTATCTCTGAGGTACTTTTAAGGAGAAAATCGCCAACAGGGCCATCCGTTTCGTACCACACGAGCACATCATTTGATCTATCCGTATTTTCATGCCACAGCACGCCACCAAACACGTAACTTTTTACCAAACCATTCTCTTCCTTCAATACTTCCCCTGCCACTCACCCCCCAGCAAATGTCAAACAAGCACCTCATCCCTTACTACACCACAATGCTCAGCCTATCACCACGTGATATGCAGCGATTTGTTGATATAATGGATGAACCGTTGCCGTACGTTATACGGGTGAGTAAAAGCACGCCTTATTATGATGATGCGGTTGATATGGTGGTTAAGATGGGATTTAGGAGAATGTGTGATAATGTGTATGAATGGGTGGAACGAGGTGGTATGAAGAATGAGATGGGGGAAAGGAATGTGATCGGTGCTGGTGAGAAGAGTAGAAGAAGTGTTGAGGATGGAAGAGAGGGGGAGCAAAGGGAAGGTGAGAAAGAAGTGGGAACGGAGAAGGAGGAGGTATTAAATTTGGAGAAGGAATTAAATTTAGAGAAGGAATTGGACCTGGAGAAAGAATCAAATTTGGAGAAGGAATTAAATTTGGAGAAGGAATTGGACCTGGAGAAGGAATTAAATTTGGAGAAGGAGGGAGAAGGTGCGCAAAGTAGGAAGAAAGCAAAGAAAAATGCACAGCAATGCGCTGCAAATCATATAAGCGATGGTACTTCTGCACAAAATGATGAAATAGCGCTCATCAAAAAGTACCTAACCATTCTAACAGACCTTAACATCATCACACGCCAAGAACTCGTATCAATCCTTCCATCATCGTTCATAGTGACATTGAAAAACCGCCGTACAAGCATGCATGTCCTTGATCTATGCGCAGCACCCGGCAGCAAAAGCACTCATCTCCTTGAGAACGGTGTGACACTCACAGCCAACGATTCAAACCTAAAACGGTGTTTTATCGTTCAGCACCGAAGTGCGCACATGCCAAAATTGCTCACAAATACGAACGGTCTGAACTTTCCGCGTCCTGTTGTGCCGTACGATGCCGTGCTGGTCGATGCGCCGTGCTCTGGTGATGGCACGTTCAGGAAGAACAAGGTCAAGGTTTTCAGCAAGAACGTGCGTTTGATGAGGGCGTTGGTGATGAAGGCGATGAGCATGGTTGATGGCGGGTACGTTGTTTACTCTACGTGCGCGGTTGATCCCGTTGAGAATGAATGGGTGGTGCAGAGTTTAAGGGATGTTTGCACGGTGGTTGGTGTTGATGAGGTTGGGAATGACATGTTTGAGATGGTGAGGATGAATTGTGGGAATGAGGAGAGAAATGGAAATGATGAGGGAGATGGAAATGATGAGGGAGATGGAAATGATGAGGGAGATGGAAATGAGGAGAGAAATGGAAATGAGGAGAGAAATGGAAATGAGGAGAGAAATGGAAATGAGGAGAGAAATGGAAATGAGGAGAGAAATGGAAATGAGGAGAGAAATGGAAATGAGGAGAGAGATGGAAATGAGGAGGGAGATGGAAATGAGGAGGGAGATGGAAATGAGGAGGGAGATGGAAATGAGGAGGGAGACAATGAGAGAAATATTAATGATAATAAAAATGGAAATAGTAATAGAATTGAAAATGAAAAGGGAAATAGAAATGAAAATGAAAAGGGAAATGAAAAGGGAAATGAAAATGGCAGATACGTGAACGGCAAGTACAAGATATTTTATAGAGAGGGTCTTACAGAATGGACAACAGATACGGAGTACAAATCGGAGAATTACGAGGAATTAAAGAAATGCATGCGGTTTTATCCCCAGGACAATAACAGCGGTGCATTTTTTATAGCAATACTACGCCGGAGAGGAACAAAGGCTGGGAGCGAGGGAAATAGCGGTACGGATGGTGGTGCACATAGAAATGGTGGTGCAAGTGGCAGTGCACCAACCATTCCAACACACGTTCCTGATACGGTGCGTACGATCCCTGCATCCGATGCAGTACCCAACATCAGCGAGCTCACAATAAACAAGGTAAAATACTCCTCCGCTAACCCTGCACTCGTACATTCTCTGCTATCGCAGTACCACCTGTCCCTCAAGGGACAGTTCATAACAACAGCAAACAACAACAGAATATACTACCTCGACAATGACACGCACCTGATCGTGGCAAAGAAGACAAACGTAGTATCAATCGGCATACTGCTGTTCACCAAGGTAAGAGATGACCAGTACAGAATCAACAACCTGTGGTACTTCGGAAAGTACGTTGAGGAGTGCTGTGCTGTTGACGAGCGGGTGTTCAGGAGGATGATTGATGGTGAACGGGTTGATGAGGTACGTTTTAAAGGATTTGGTGTTGTACGGCATGGGCAATGCTACTACTGTGTGTGTGCAGGAAGGGAGAGGATTGATGTGTACGTTAAGGAAAAGGAGAAGGAAGTAATACGGGTGATTATGGGGGATGAGATGGTGTTGTAGAAGGAGTATGAGGGTTTGGTGGTGAGGAATGTTTTGGTATTGGAGTTAGCGTTGTTGTTGGTTTGGTACGGGTGAGTATGAGGGTTTGGTGGTGAGGAATGTTTTGGTATCGGTGTTAGCGTTGTTGTTGGTTTGGTACGGGTGAGTATGAGGGTTTGGTGGTGAGGAATGTTTTGGTATTGGTGTTAGCGTTGTTGTTGGTTTGGTGCGGGTTGTACGCGCATTCCTGGTAAAATGCCTTTATCTACGTTACGCTCTTTTCATCTCTTGATAGCGTACTTATGCACTGCGTTCGTTACCGCATTGCTCTTTTCTTGGTTTTGGTATTTGTTCCGTGCTACGTACGTTTTACTTCTCCTCTGTTCCTGTGGTATGAGTTGTACACGCATTGGTAGGTGAATACGGTGCTTTTCTTCTGCTCTCTTTTTCTGGTGTACCTCGTTCTTCCGCCCAGTTCGCTATCCATTCCGCTCATCGCAGCTCTGCTCGTTACTCTTCCCCTACCACCAATATAACCGTGCTTGTACGCGTTGATTGCTTTTACACCGGTCATTCTCTCGGTACAACTGCCCTTGCCTCTCCTCGCACCACTTCTGCTCCGTTCCCATTATCACACCGTCAGAGCACTCACATCAAAACACCATCACCAACACGAATAAAACCAGCCGCATTCCCATCACACATGCTAATTCTTCATATTTTGCTTACCGTTTATACGTACGGTGTTCTCCGCCGTGCACCCACCAACAAGCCTTCCGTGAACGACAATACCAAACGTATTAGCATAGAGCAGCTCAGAAAGGCAAACAATTTGGACGAATTCATGAACAAAATAGGAAGCGGTAGCACAAGGAAAAGGAGTAATGGTGAATGGATGTGGTAGTTAAAGTGCATTTATACGATTATAGCGTGATAGCACGTTATACGCTGCAATACGTTCAACTGTAATGTAAAATACTGCAATTTATCTATTAAATCTTATTTATACTTTCATAACACACTAAATACAAAATATTACAACCAACCGTACTTCACAACCAAATAATTTGATACAATTACACTCGTGCGATCACTTCTCAGCTGTCACCACAATACAAAGTATAAGTAAAATGTGCTAGTGCTGGTAATGCTTCTCATCCGTTTTTATGTGGTGTATTGTTCTGCTCGCTCAAGAATACATGCTGCTCGACCGGGTGTGGGACATTTTGATGTGGAAGCTATGAGGAAAACGAATGACGAGGAGTATAGGATAAGGGATTGACTGGTGTGGAGTGTAGGAGTGAGGTGAGGTGGAGTGTAGGAGTAACAGACCCAAAAGACCAACAAACCATAAAAACCGTAGTAAAAAACTTTCTCTAAAGTAGCCGTACACTCCATTTTCATACTCTCAATGCACCCATCAAACAAATCGTAGTTTTGACAGCCATTCATTCGTACATTTTGGTTTTGTTTCAGCTTATGAGCACTTTTTGAGGGGCCCTACGAAATGAAGGGGTTTGAGAGCCGGATAAAGACGCTTGAGGAGTGTATGAGAGAGGTGGAGGAGAGACAGAGGAGCGTGTTCCGCAACGGTAACGATGACGGGGGTGCAGATCATAAGAATGAGAGCGGTATGGATTGTGGCAGCAGAACGGGCTGCAAGCGCAATGACTTGGAATGCAACAACCATAGCAGTGCTACGCCCGCTCCTGCCGATGTAGCATCGTACAACACATTCAACAACATCACCAGTTCTAACGCTCAGCTGCTCACCAATCTTTCGATCCTGTTTCCCAACAAAGACAGACACGCGATCGCAAACGTAATAAGCACGCACGATACGTTCGATGCAATGATAAACACGCTGAGCAGGGACAGCACGGTGAAGTTGACGTGTAAAGATGTGTGTGATGATTTAATACAGCAGGATATACAGCGTAAAATGTGTTGGACGATAGCTAAGGAATGTAGCGGTGGGAAGAGGGGAGAAGCGAACTATTCTGGAGTGCTCGGACATGCTGGCAGTACGGATGGTGCAAAGAACGGGGTCTTGAACTATCCGGAGGTGTTTAACGCCGCCACACCGGTAAATTTACGTGATAAAACTGATCCGCATTCTACATCCGAACAGCGCGTAGAACAGCTGCGCAGCTTAGCTCAGCACTACCGCACCTTGTACACGTCTACCAAGCAGTTATCGGTGACTCACAAGAGAAACAAACCGCTCAACAATTACTACGTTGACAAGGCTGAGCAGTACAAGCAAAACAGTGAGCACGTGAACAGACAAGCAGTGATACAGCTGATGAAAGACAAGATAAGTGATAATAGGATAGACTTGCACGGCTTGTACGTGTGGGAGGGATTGATGGTGCTCAGTGATTACGTGCGCACGTATAAGTTCAAGAGATTTTATGTGTGTGTGGGAAGAAAGGAGAAGAGCTTGAGGATGAGGCCCGAGGTGATGGAATACTTGGCGAGAGAAGGGTTTGCGGTGGAGAGTGAAGGAGCATGGCTGCGTGTTACCAAGGAGAGACACGGATCATAGAAGAGACTGTTCTTGTGGACATATCTGGATTGGTGAGAGGAAAGATTCTTATAGATGAGCAAAGAATGATGGCAGAGCTCGTTAAACACATTTTTTAAAAAACATCATTTATTGATTTTTATACGTTGCACCGATCAGATAAACACACTTTTCAGATTTACCGGGTACGACTACGGCCTGAGGTTCGTTGAAGCGATCAGTGCATCAACTTGCACAACAATCTAGCACGCTGCTCACAACGATGTGGGATGTGCTGCAACCGTAGCACTGAACCAAGCATGCAAGCCATGACTTACGCGATACTCCTCACCAGGTAACTTGAAAAACTCCCTGTCTTAAATAAAAAAGTTCTTGGCGCTCACCATTTAGCAGAGAAAGTGCCATGCGCAATCCCGTAAAACGAATTTATTCTTTCATCACCGAACAAGTGTTACCGACTCTTCGCAAAGCGATGAGGCTGTTACTCTAACACCCTGCGGCCCAACAACACAATATAAACGATTCGTCAAAGCAATTGCTTGCCATGGCAAGTGCAGAGCGGTACGCGTGGTAAAAACAAAACGAATTAAAATTGCCTGGCACTAACCCATCCGTAGAATGAACCGATAAGCACCACCAAACCAGGTGCTCCAACATACCCTTCTTACTAACATCTTTAATACTTCTCATCTACTTACTTATCCGCACTCTTCCCACCGTACTTCTTCATAGCAGCCTCCATATCCACAATAATATTATTGGACAGTTCCCGTCCACCCAACTCCAACCGTATCGCACTCTTAACCTCAGTAGCACCCACGGTTAGCTTGCTAACACTCTTCGACAGGTCACCTGCTGTGGTACCGATCATACTGAAGAAATCGAATGCTATTGATGACAAAATGGTCACGGCTGCCGAGGATATCGTGTAGTTGTCCTTCAAACGCTCGCGTACCAGCCTTTTTACACTTGATTTGTACAGGGCAGATGATTCAAGGTTCTTTGGGTTGGCACGTCTGCGCGGACGCTGCGATTGCTCTCTCTCGTCAGCTTTCTGTTTCGGGTCGGTACTCTTCGTTGATGCCATGGGGATCAGAAAATTTTCTGCTTTTATTTGTTTTGAGGATGTTTTGGAGGTAAAAGGGGCGGCAGGAATGGGGCGTAATAAATAAGGATGGTACTGCAGGATGGGCAAGCTAGGGCGTAATAGGAGGTGTAGCGCGGTAAAATAATAAATGATATGATGTAATGAATGTATTGTAAGGTAGATTGTGCAATTATCGTACATAAAATTGGTATAGGTGGTGGAGCATAGGGAAAGTGGCGAATTAAAATGGTAGTAAACGTGAACATGCGGGTAGTGGCACGGAAAAGTAAAGAATTAAATATGGTAAAGAGCATTGATGTGCAGATTTACGGGACAGGAGATGAAGAAAAGATGAGGAGGATGTAGCAGTGAAAGGTGTGCACATAAGCAGTTGAGAGGGTAATATGTGGCGGTGCGAATAGATAAGAGAGTTTGACACGTGCGCGGGTTACTGAATAGTAAGTAAAGAAGGATTGGTGAAAAATGGCAGATAAATAGCTATGATGGAAATAAAACTGGGCGTATTTTTAGTGAGAACACTGCGATGATTACCTACGGTACTATGAACGGTAATGTTACGGCACCGGCACAATAAAATTAATAAAACAATGAAACTGCCGTAGAATGCACTACGATAATCGGTACGGCCAGGTGCAAAGAATTATTAATTGGTAAAAAAGAGAAGTATGACTTAAAAGGACTGCCGATAGTGACATGCGGTGAAGTGGCAGCTAATTGATAAAGAACAGTGAAATAGAAAATATTATGAAAGGCATTGGTGTGCATAGCGCTTTTAGGGTGGTTGTGTTGAATTGCGCATTTTTTATGGTTGACATGTTGTGTTGGTATTTGGATCAGTAATTAAAAGAGAATGGGTTGAATATATGAAGAGAGAATGGGTTGAATATATGAAGAGAGAATGGGTTGAATATATGAAGAGAGAATGGGTTGAATAGATGGCGGGAGAATGGGTTGAATATATGAAGAGAGAATGGGTTGAACGCAAGCCAAAGTGAAAGAACGTGAGTGATAAACAATGTAAATGGTGGTATAACACGGGAATTTACCGTAATATCCCTTTATCAGCATATTCGATGATATTATGCAGCAAACTTGCAGTGCTAAAATATTAACAGAGGTAACAGGAGCAAAGGAATATGCAGCGTATATACTTGAAAAGTAGATGATCGATAATATCACAAATATGGCGTGTTATAACGTGCATACGTTGCATTGAGGTTACTGTTATCATCAAATCGTGATTATGTGCTCTATATGGCAAATTTTGTGTGATCTGATTGTAATAAATCGCTGATTAGATCAAATTTACGATCAATTTGTAAAAAATTTTAAATTTGAATGCAAACAGGTAAAAATACGGAAATGTTCACGGTGTAAAATGTCAATAAAACAGGTAATATTGTTAAAAGGGCATGTAATCAGAAACTTTTACTTATCAATCTTTATTTCTTAGACAGAGTTAGGTTCAACGGCAAAGAAAGCATTATAGAAATAACGAGAGTTTGCCATTCCATAGACAAACAGGACAGCGGACACCAGCGCTATGAGTGCCGTGATGTATTTCATTGCGTCATCTCCATTCTTTTTCTTGCTGTCTCCCTCCGCGTTGAAGAATGATACCTTGATACCGAACGCGATCATAATAAGGATTGATGCCACACCTATCAGATGGTAGGGTGTTGAGCTCTGAGCGTATGCAACGTATGCACATACGAGTGCTAATAGGATGTTAAGAACGAGCGATATAACACCTGGTGATCCTGTGAGCAAGCTCGACACATTGGTAAGCAGGAACCCGAGCGCTGGTAGCATTGGTATCTGCTCATAGTGATTGATAAACGTGTACACAACAGCAACAACCGCAAGTATAATCAGTCCATACATCACAAATGCACTCTCAGCGCTCTTATTCTTCTTGCTATCGCCACAAATGAATTTCTGAACCTCTACGAAAATAATGTACGCTAACAGAGCTAGGCTGACAGCAATGAACGGGTACTTGAAGAAGTTGTTCGTGTGCAGACTACTCCACTTCGAGACCGCAAAGCTCATTACCAGCGATATCAATAGAGTGATAGGCAACAAAATTTTCGTGATTGAGATTGATGTTCCTGCAAAGCTGTAGCTCTTGCTGTAGATTGATATTCTGGCGTGTTTTACTGGCATGGAAGTGATTGTGTGACCGTATTTATAGCTTGTTATTTGTGCTTTTATAGATTTATGGAGTAGAAATGTGCAATTTGTGAGAATTGGGATAAATGGATGGTTTAAAGGGAATAGTAGGATGGGTGCGCGTGGTTGTACCATAAATAGGGAAATATTGTAAAAATGGATGGCTACACATGAACAAGGAAGGTGTGAAAAATGGGATATAAAAAGATAAATAGGGTAGATGGTAGTAAAGAACAGCGAGTAAAATGAAGAACGTACATGTGATGCGAACAAACCGCGAAAGTAATACGAATGGAGAAGTTATTGAGGATGTAATTGTAAATTATGTGAGGAAATGGAAACATAGGTACAGAACAATATGTGCAAATTATAAGGGCCAAATGGTGTAAATTATTTAGAATAACATGTTAATGATCAGGTAATGCCAAAAATGATAATGGAATTGATAGTGTAAATGCCTGTGATACATTTCCTTCGATAATTGGTCTAAACAATCTCTACACCTTCCAATCGTAATGAGCTGATACTGCTGCATCACTCTCATCTAATATCTTCTCTTACACTCGATGCACCAGTTAATAAAGACTGAGAGCGTCAAACTCGATAACATCCGATCATATCGAGTGATATTGCACGTATTGTCCGTATATCGCGTATTTATTTGGTAATTATTCATCAGCTTTTCTCTAAAATCCGTATATGTTTGTGAAGAACATGTAATTTTTACTATAATTAAGCTTAATTACAATTTTTAACAAGAGGTATTAATCGCAGGTCCAGGTAAATAATTGCTATTATCTTCTCACAATACTATGTTGATGTGCGAATAACATGATAATTGCAGGATTGTTAGATCTTGAGTAGTATTCGTTTGTTTATATTGTCCATACATAACAGCTTGAATTAATAAATAATTACGGCAAAAAAATATTTTACAGGACTAAATAAGTACTTTACCTTGTTCTAAAGAATGTGTCGTGTGTTCTTTTGTACTGCTTCCACTTATGAGAGTATATTCATGTGTTTATATCCATAAAATGAACGTGTTACATCAAATAATACCCGTTCAACTGCTTTAAGGCAGAGATAGCTGGGAGTATTTCATTTAGAGCAGCACAAATACCAATAAGTGCTGGCACTTATGTATTTTGATCAGTTATAACATGATAGCCGCCGTAAACCACGAATAAACCATAAAAACACAATATAATGTCACATATTGCACAAATTGCTAACATTAATTTAATTTTTTGTCATCTTTATCAATTCATGGTGATATTAAATTGTTTGTTCGTATTGGGTTATCTTAATTAAGGGGTGTATTGGTGCTGAGTTAAAGAATGCACGGAAAAGTGGTAGCTACTCATCAATTGTACACGTATCATTGCACAATGCTTTCATTTATTACGTGATACGTCTTTCGCTTTTTACCAGTAGTTGTTTTTATGGCCTTGCACAGCAACAAAATTCGGACAAGCTCATCTTTTGGTTCGTAAGCCTAACAAGGCTGTCTTTCGTTTTTGTGTGCTTGCTACGCCAAAATTTTGGTTATTTTCTCGCATTCAATCTTAGTTACGTTTCTAGAAGAGACTACTTATTAATCATGGTGGTTTAAATCAAGTAAATGAAGGACTGTCATACTCGGTGATAAAAGAAAATTAGAACGATAAAAGTGGTGAAGATGTACGAATAATGCGTTATAATTATTTCTTTTGCCATTGTAAATGGGGAACTAAGCGTTTAAGCAGAAAAATAGGTTAAATTACAGGAATAATCGGACGAAAAAGGATTTAGGTATGGCACAGCGTGTTACCATGTAGAAATGACCGCTAACGCAACAAACATAAAAATAGATGGAAAATATGAGACTATCAGGCATTTGTAATTGCTATAATGTATGTTTACGGACACTGCAATGATTAATGAGTGATTACATCATAGTTGCACGAACATTGGTGCTCTACTATCGTTTATATTGTGAATCAGCAAATAAAATAGCTTCGGAGATGATCAAAAATTGCGACTGCAGTTGCCACTCGTGTGTAATTGATCGTATCAATGAATTAAACGACGTAAACATCGGAAGAAATAATGTTTTAAGATCATTGCGCTACATATGTTTAATTGTGCAGTAGCACAAAAGCTTTATTCTATGATGAGAAGGGATAATCCAATTTTTATACACAAAATGGATAAGCTTGGTACTTGAACATAAAATGCTAAGTGCGTTATTTCCTTATATAAAACAGAATAAACTTTAGCTACCTATTAAATTATATTGCGTATTTTATGTTTTTTGACTGTTTTGAATCCTTTGATAGGGATTAAAGAATTAATTTTGGTCTGTAGTCATGTCTTTTTAATATTGCTTGTAAAGAATAATGAACCATGTCTTGGTAAAAATAAAAGGTAAAATAATTTTTAATTCTTCGTTTTGTGCCAGTAGACGAGAAAAGGAATGTTCGGTTATTCTCGAAGGATGTGGTAGCTTTTTCTGGATGAGGATCAGTTTTTTTATTGGTATGAGTGTAAATGTAAAAGCTATTCTTCAGAGGTAGACATAAATGAAAATACAAGTTGTACTCTAAGTGTAGTGGGCAGAATCAATTATTATTGAGCGATTTCAATGCTTTTGTCGCTGTATTAGTACAATATTTCGTATACATGATGCTTTTACGGCTAGTAATAGACGAACTGCTCGCTATAGCGCAAAAATGATCTATCAACAGATATATGTGCGCTTGATAGCGTAAATACATTCAAAGTCCTGTAAACAGTGATATAGCACTTAAAACCTCTTTTGAAGGCACAATATAAGCAGTTTTAAACTAATATTTCCGTATTTGCTTCACAACCAATGTTACTGTGTAGATAAGACAGTTCAGCATTTGGTTCAGCAATGGCAAAAGAAAAAATTGCAGTAAATACTGCTGGTACAATGTGCACGTGAAAAGTACATTTGATGTTGTGTGCGCCCACCTAGCGTAATAAAAAGTATGTGCCAATTATTGTGTAAAATATACATGCTGCAAGTAATAACCGTGCAGAAAGGCTGCTCTCAATGCCATATTATAGCAAGTATATTTAATCAAACCACACGTGCATCCACTTGACCTTCTCCTCTCTGGGTGCTAGCACTCAGCTTGTCTTGGGATCTTTAAACCAAAATTAACCTCATCCAGGCCAATTCATAATGCAGCAGTTCCCTAAATTAATTACCACTCAGACCTCATATCATGCGATTATCTTTCAAACAACATATCACATGGTGCTATAAGCCATAAATGATCAATATATCAGTTATTTATCCAATACCTAGACACATTACAGATCCTTTCTGTTTTATTACTCGGGTTAGGGATTTAATTAAAAGCACAATTTGCAACTAAATGTACAAATTGTTGCAGTGCAATTAGCCATTTTGTTTTTTGTTGCTGTAAAACGAGTAAAAATGGTTAATCGTGCTGATCAGTGGCAGGCAACCACCATGGTATTCATTACAATCTCACGTTATTCACAATAAGGTGGTTTACACAAAATAAGTTAAATGTACAATTCTTCAACCTTATAATTCCTGTTTAGTTATTTTATTGCATTCGTAGTCACTACGATGTACTGTACGCTATCGCTCTCTTCATCTACCCGTACTACTTTCTGTGCAGAATCTATGTACGTGTACCCTCTAGGGCACCCGTTCTGTTTATCTCATCGTTCCAACTCTGCAAAGCATCACGTCATTCCAACCCATCGCTTGACACATCGCTGGCAATTTCAATTCAGTATGAATTTCAAGGACGTTCATCTTTAATTTAACAGCCAATTTATCTGCAAACACACACAAAAACCATAAACAGCAAAATTAACACTTATAAATACCTCTCATTGACATCCCTACATGCCAGGAAAAATATACAACATCAAAAAGAATGCAATGAAGGAAGATTTGGAATCGGTAAAAAATATGTACTTCGTGAACGGGATGCTACTCATGCTGATATGTGTAACACTGCTCCTCAACAAGCTGCTCTTTGTTCCCCTCGAACTGGCCTTCTTCACGAAACTAACACCGATTCTGCTCGCGGTGTATTTGCACGTGCTGGTCATTCTACAAATAAGCACGCTGTTGGCGCCCTATCTGGATAAGTACGGCGACAAAAAGTTTAGTGCAACGACCGGGCTTGCGTACGCTCTTGGTCTGATAACATTGTTGATACCGATCATATACATTCTACGCCTGGACTTCTCGTGTGATACGGTGCTGACCCTACTTACAGGCGTTATTCTGATGTGCAACACGCTCAATATGATGTCAAAGCACAACAGAGAAGTACGGGCAACCATGTATCTCAACGCGCTGTATTGCATTGTCCTAGTGGTTTCTATCATCATTGCGTTGGCGTTTGACCTGAACAGGCTGTGGGTGTGCCTGCCGATAATTATTATTTACGCGCTAGACCAGATACTAAAGAGCTCAGATCGGCCTTTTACATGGTATCCGATGGAAAAGAAGGAATCGATTGCTTGGTTATCGGTAACATTGGCTGGTATAGCCATGTTTCTGCTTGTAGCTTACATGTTCAAGATCAAATTTCCGCTAGGGTTGAACAATTCGGTGAATAGCTAAGGGGTGAGCTTTAAGGAGGTGGAAGCGAGTCATTCTTTTACTAATAAAAGCGCTTAGTTGCGAATTGCAATTCATTATGACGTTTTTTCATTCTACAAATCTGCGTTGCAGACTTGTTTTGAGCCTGTGCTATCTTGTATGGTATTAATTTAGGGTAGCAGAAACACAAATATTCAGCAAAATACCACACCTTTTTATTCATTTGCTCTGCGACCCATATCAGAATAGCTGTCCCTTTTAGACCCGTTAGTTCTGTGGCTGTCTTTTGCCGTAGCAGGAGTTCTTCTGGTTCACTGCGATGTGCACTTTGGTCTCTGATACAAGGATGCAGTAGTAACTAGAAATATCTGGGAAGTCATTGCAAGTACCGTTTTATGCTCATAAGGAACCAATATCTTTCATGGTGCCACTACTTCTTACGTAACACTTGTAAATTAATAGTTCTTATTCTTTAAACGCATCTTTTGCCTGTGCATCTCTTCGGTTTGCCGGAAATCGCGTTGGCTTCAAAAGCTCTTCCAAGAGACGACTCTTGTTACGCCATGTGAGGTGATGCAATCCGTTAAGTTTGGGATGGTAGAACAGTTTGCATACGCCTATTGGTGCGATAAACAGTTCCAGATGTGTTAATTTATTAATTCACCTGGCCATCTTGGAATTCATAGAATATATGCCGATGGCCACGGTCAGTTAGAATGGACTATAAAAGTGCATTGATTTAGATGTTATTGCCATACAAGGAGAAAAAGAAATGATATTTGGTAAAAAAGTTGGATTGAAAACTTTTTACTGTCTCAACACGATACATCCGCGATATTCATACCATCATTGTCGCTTGGTGTCGGTACGCTATTACGATATATGGGATTATTATATCTAGTACTCGGCGGAACTACGCCCTGATAGCGTGGGGTATTTGTCTGGATACGACTATAGAAACACTTGTGGTCGCCATTGGAGAGCAATTTAATTCTGTTCGATACATGCGAATCAATCGCTCGTTCCCTATTCAATTTACCAAATACATTGGTATATATAGATGGCATTGGCTGATATAACGCACCCGTTTCAATATGAGTAGGCGATGCGTTTGTTCGCGATTCGCTTTGGTCAACTACCGTGCACTCATCGATGAGCTCAGCACCTACATCAACATCAGAAATATTGAAAACATTGATTTGTGAGTGTCCTGCTGATATTACTAAAGACTCGGGGTAAATCACTTTAAACAACTTCCGAATACGCCATATTAAGATTAAAGTGGCAAGCATAACGATGACAAAGATCATCAACAAGAATGGAATAAAATAAACACCTTGTCTCGATAAAAACGTGCCTGTTGTCGTGTTGGGACAGGGGGATGGTGCTGGAATAAGAACAAAGTCAACATTTGCAACCGTACCATTTTTTTGTTGTGCAAATAGGCCGTTTGATGCGGTGTCATTAGCACTGACTTGACCGCCATTCCAAATAAAGAACAACTTAGAGAGTGTCGAAACAGGGTTTACAAGTTTGATAGCAGATTGATAAACCGGCCCTACAATTTTTGATAATATCATGATTTGAAAGATGGCGCTTCATTAAATAATTGATGCCGTGTCTTTTAGGGCAAATTGTTGGACTGAACTATGAAAATATAAACCATATGAATTACAGTACGGCATATTTACGTCTACTGGAACGGATTAACACGCAAAACTTAATGCCGAAATGCACTCATGTTCCTCAAAAAACTGAATACCATGTGAATTGCTTTTTGAAATGCAGCAATGGTTCCCTTGGCACGGATATGATGGGCATCCAATGCCGGTGTGGGAACACGCTATATTTTGCTCCCTGTGGCAGAAAAAGTACTGACGTAGTTTCGTTGAAGAATACCCCACAATTACACACATAACTTTCTTCACCGTATAGTACTGCATGTTAAACGGTACATCATGCTTTCTACAATCGTGCAATCACGCCTGATCATCACAATTTCAGAATTGTGCCCTTGGTATGCCACCACGCTACGAGAAGAAGTACGATCGTCAAATACGTGTCTTTGGTTTCACAACACAGGAAAAGTTGCAGAACATGCGTGTTACGCTCTATACATCAACCAGTAACTACGTATCTGCTGAAATCGTCAAAAATTTGGTGCTTCTCGGTGTAACCGATCTGAAAATTAATAAAAGAGCCGAGGAATGTGTGCTTAGGATGATACCCGGCGGTATAAAAGACATAAACGAAAAATTAAGGCTTGAGGTATTTGACGATACCGCAGGTATGGCTGATCGTAGCAATGCCAGCAGTTGTTTGGTGAACGAGCAGGAAGTGAACGTAACAATACAGATAGATAATTTTGTAGTAAATGAATTTGGCAGGTCCTTCTACGTGTGCTCGAAGTGCTGCATGTTTGGCGATACGTGTGACCATCGCTGTGTTGAAATTGAGCAGAGAATTGAAAATGAGTGTTTGTTGGGCGCTGTTTTGGTACAAGAAATGGTTAAGATGCTTTCTGGTGAGAACTACCAGAAAGAATACCGGTTGGATGTTTGATAAGGATGCGTTCAAGATACGCAGCTAATTTATAGCTTTGTGGTGCACGGCTCGTATCTGCGGACTAGTAGATTTAATAAAAGATCCATTTCATAGTTTCTTATCCAACGTACTGCCCGTGTGTACATCCAGTTTTTTACAACAGGCAGTAAAAATAGAAACAAAATCGTGCGCCTCAAAAATTTTTATTTGTATGATTACGGTGAAAAGATTTAAAACAAGCACAAAAATTGGAAAACTTGGGCATTTTTAGCCAAATAAAAAATTTACATTTATGGAAGGACATTTTCATAACTAGCGTATTGGCCGAGACAAAGCATGCACTGTTAGTGCAACACGCAGGACAAACTGCCTGATGTACTGTAGCATTAATACAAATAAATCATTTATCGCTCGTACACCAGGCGTTGTGGATGTAGTACCGCTTGGGATGCGCGATAATAGCTGTGGTGCCATTTATACCAGCGCAAAATTTTTAAAAAATAGTTTTGGTTGCTGAGTGTACTGCCGCTCTATTTTTAGCGGTATTTTATATGGACGATAAACCGTGAAGTACGCATTTTCTGCTTTGGTACGCGACAATAAAAAATTTGTAATTGCAATTAAACACGCGTTAATGAATGATTGCGTGTTGAAACGGAGTGCAGCACAGTATCATGTACCGCAGTACGTACCACAACGAAATAAAATATGATGTGATACCGTACGATAGGTTTTGGAGAAACGTAACTATGGCTCAGCTGTGATATGCCTTGCACATTAAGATATTATAAATAACAAGTACAACTGTTTTTTCCACTTTTTATTCCATTCTGATCAAATAACATAAAACTTGGGCAGATACCCTTTCAATCAATGCTATGCAACGAGAACAACTTGACAACCATGAAACAACGATTTATCAGAAAGGTGCTTCCTAAAAGCATCGAAATAATTTTCAAAATATTCATAATCAGCAACACCATAAGCAACCGAGAAATACACAACCACACGGTCATCGATCCTAATATAGTAACAGCAACGCTTACGTATGTGCTTGCATGGCTCTTTGCCGAATGTGAGATCGCTTACGGTTCGCTCTCCTTCATGAGAGATGTGTTTTGCTACAACACCAAAGTGCAGGAAAACTGTGCATATGTGTACACACACTGCCTGCTCGTATTCATCATCACCAAGCTCTTGCATTCCCTGTTGTGCATGCTCAGAGTTACCAAGATTCTGCTCAAAATACCGAGGGAGTGTATTGTGGGTTGTTCGCTGGCAACCGGTGTAATACACGTTGCGAACGAAATAAAAATGTACAACACGCATATCACACTGCCCTCATTCGTACTTTCTGTATTTTTTGTGCTTTTCTTCTTTTACTCAAAAATAATGTTTTTTGTCTCTGTGGTCGTCATTGCGATCTCAAATCACGTGATGGTTGCGTGTGTGCAGAACAGCAAGCTGTTCTTTTTTGAAAAACTAAGATGCAATTCGTTGTGTGTGCTGTTTCCCGTGCAGTATTTTGATCTTGGTGGCGCGAAAATGCGCTCCTTCGCGTGCTCATTTTTCAGTGCTCTCGCTATTTTCTTCTTCAATGGAATCGAAATCGAGCTGGACAGGGAGAGTAACGCGGATTTTTACCATACTATGAGCGAACAACTGGGCAGTAACGTACTAGACAATACTGTGGGTGTCAATGCACTGAATAATGGTCTGCATGGCAGTGCTTCATCAGATGAAGCGAACAATTCAAGCAGTGACCCGCTTGGCGCTGCGCTAAGAATTCGTACGGCGTCCGTACGAAGCAATGTCGCTCAGTTCAAATCGTATATTGTGCTGCATACAAATGAATTCTATCATGGAAACAGGCTCAGCTGCATCAACCTGCTCACATTTTTCCTTCCGTTCACGGTCAAAAAGGAAAGAAAACAATTCCATGCCATAGAGCGTGTATTTGTAAGTATTTTGACACTAAAAATGGCCATTCTACTCCTTTTATTCAGGCTGTTCATACCAAAAATCATATATATCAGCTTAAGCATGTTCCTGGGTCTATATATCATCGTTATGTCGCTGAGAGAAGTTCATAAATTCTGTACAATGGAGAAGATCACGATAGTATGTCTTGGTATCTTCAACGCGGTGTGTAATATGTTTGTTCTATCCGTGATGTTGTTCTCTGGTCTCATATACTTGGTCGGCTACGTGCGGAACAGCAATAACCAGTGCTTGACCGTTGAAGAAGAATACAGCCATGTATTGTACGACTACAAGAGGTTGGACACGAGCGTAAAAGGCGAGATTGTTGTGATAGATCTGAGAAGGTACAGTTATATAGTGTCGAGTGAGAGGGAACGAATTGGCAATCTTGTAAAAGGATTGAGAGTGAAGAATATCTTTGTTATAAAGAGGAAGAATTTGTTCATATGGCTTGAGAATGTAAATTTTATTTGTGAATTGAACGAGATCGAGGAGTATTTGGTGTAAAAAGGGAGATGATGCGCTTTTAACGCACAATATGCCGTGTTGTATGTAGAAATAAATATAGTTCATATTAAACAACAAATTGTGGACACGTGGGAAGACATTCGTTGTATGTTTGACCAGACGTTGTTGTATACGGAGATAAATAGACGTACTTTTTACGAAAGATGGTACTAATTAATGTATTGCATGCCGTAGCGCACCGCTTTGTATTTTTGATCGGCATTCTGATCAAAAAGCATTTGTGCCACGGGCGCAACAGGACATGCCGATTTTCTCAGAAATATACCGATAAAAACGTGTTAACGAAAATTCTCTTCTTTTTTTGGGAAGAACACATCCCTGCTCATCTAGAAAATAAATAAATGTAAATTTTCGATGACGTAACAAACTTAGCAGAGAATGTATCGAACAAGATAACATTCTTCGCTAAGTTTGTTATTGACAGCTCCCATTTGAAAAGAATGCATTAGGAGCGGTCCATTTTTGCATATTTTTACGTGCTGTACCCGGAATAATAAATTTATTCACCTGAATAACACTTTACAAAACATGGAATGGTACCAAGGAAGAATTTCTAAACCTAATAAACGATTTACTGATAAAAAACACTATAAATGCGATCATTAACGATTAAATGTAACAATAGTGCTTGCTTTATCTTAGCATGATCCTAATACATCACCAGTCGTGGAAAACCGTTCATAAAATGTTCAGATCGCTACTGTAGAAGAAAGCAATTTAATGTTCATGAAAATGCCATTGCTGCACCGATAATCTCCGGTGCAGGAGATGCTGTTGGACCGAATCCTAAGGGCGTCCGTGTGTCGTGCATGATAGTATGCCGGGTACAAGTTATATCGCGCGTACGATAGACAAACAGAAGGCATCGATACAGCGGTCGTAAACAGCTTTATCCTAAGCCCGCAACTCAAAATTCATAACCCCGTTGATTTCTCTATGAAAGTAAATTTTCTCTTTCTTTATCTCTTCAAACACCTTTGCTGCCACCTCTCTCCATCCCTTTAGGCCGTATTCCTCGCCAAAAACCTCCACAAACTCATCTGTGCTCCCAAACATCGGTATACAAAAATGCAGACACACCTCCTTCGGTGACAAAAACGTAATCATATCCTCCAACACACGGAATGCTTTCTCTTTGTTGGGCATTTTCCCACCAAGAATCAGAGTGTACGGTGTATTCGGCACGCTATACTTTTTGGTTGGATCAAAATCTTTTGCATTCATTTTACTCTTCCAGTGGACGGACACCGGCGAGTCATTGTCCATATAAACATCGCCTTCAACATAAACCGGGTCGCGTGAATTGATCAGGACCGGTCTGCTGATGTTCTGGGCGTCATGGTTGGCATTGCGCTGTTTTTCAAGCCTTCTTATTTTTGAGAGCGTTTCCAAGCAGTCATCAGTGCGCAAAATGCTTGGTGGTATTTTCTTGTCCTTCTTGAGTGTCGATTTGAACGTTTTTCGCTTGCGCCTGTTAAAAGTTCGCCGTTTTGATTGTCTTTTCTTTTGCACCATGAGGGGTGAAAACTTGAACGGTAAAAACTGAATGCGCAAAAAATACGAGAAACGGCCAGAGAGCTTGCAGACCCTCAGAAGAAGAATATGCGAGTTTCTGTCAAAACAAGAAACATTCAAACGTACTCGTGCACAGCAATGGATTGCTAAGTTAAATGTGGTGTGACTGAAGAGTTGCCGTGCTATTCGGTTTTGAGAAATGTCCAAGATTGGTTCCGTTCAAAACGTAGGTAGCCATCTCTGCACATGTGACAGATCAAAATATTTTATTGGTGACAGGACCAGCGTACAACATCATTCAAACTTGTTCAAACCGCACGGTTTAAAATCAAAGTAAGAAATGCTTAGCATGACTTTATACGCAGGATACGTCTCAATCAAAAAGATTGATTGTTAAAATACGTTGATCTAAAAACACTGCCCTTATTGATGGCACTGTTTTACCTGCCAAGCGAAGATACATACACTTTACTGGACACAATGCGCGGCGAAGAACTGAAAGACAAGGTTATTGTTGAGATAGGTACAGGCTCGGCCACCATTATAAATACATTTCTCCGATTCAACCATTGTCTTGCTACCGACATAAACCCGCATGCACTACGGAATGCTAAGTGTGATGCAATCCAGAGCAACCTGCTGAGTAATCTTAGACAGACAGAAATCGATGTCATAATCTTCAACCCGCCATACCTGAATGAGCAGGTAGCACAGTGCGAGCAGAAAAAACCCTGCGAAAAGTGCTTGGAAATTTGCAGCTATGCCGGTGGTAAAGACGGAAGTGAGGTTATCTGGCAGTTTCTGAAAGCCGTGCGTACAAAAGAGTTTTACTTGTTGGTCATCAGGCTCAATAAAATCAACGTGGAACACATACCTGGTTACGATGTACGTGTCATAAGGCAAAGAGCGATACTGGGAGAAACAATTTACATCCTACACGGTGTAAGAAAGAACTGAAAGAATGTTGTCGATGGTTCTCACGGATTTACTAAAACAAAGCTTGTAATTTTTTGCATACGTACTGTAGGACGTGTTGATGTGATATTCGATTGGTAAAAAGGAACGAGCAATACTCATATATGTCATTTTCAAACGCATTTCGCTGCTAACACACATTAAAAGGTGCTAAATTGTAGAAATCATTATTTCTCGTACCAATGATTTGTACCACACCAATTTTATCTTAATAGAGTGCTAATTTACAACAATTCCTATTATGTAAGCGATATCAACGTTAGTTAATCTATATTCTACGTTTTAAAACCTTTCATACATCTTGTATGGTAAATTTGGTAAGCATAGAGTGTTTCACGGTAAAATTTTCTAAAAGTGATTTTAATCGCTAAACTCACAACTATATATCGCAAACGAACACCGCATCGTGTGCTACTATGTAATTTATTGGGCGATTACCTCAAAAAAGTAATTTCTGGCGCTAAACACCGAATACGTACATTTTGGCCCTTAAGATCAGAATACCAGCGCTCAAACACAGCAATAACATATTCGTGGTAGAGCGGGTATTATTTGTCCTTAAGTAACACTTTGAAGCAGTTTGTCTGGTACAATATTTTTATTCACCTCAAAAATACGATTCTATTCTCTTGTACTCCTTCTCGTTCGTATTATCTTTTACCACATCCTTGAAAATCTTCAGGGCAGCGCCTCTCATGTCTTCATCATCTATGTCTGTAATATAGCGAATATTCTTTTTTATCCTTACGTAATCCAACTCAACAGCAAACATCTCATCAATAATGGTTTTCTTCATCTCCTCTACTAGCAAGAAATAGTAGTCAGTGCACTTCTTTATAGGATACACACACTCGAACTTCCTCAGCACGTGTTGAAAATCTGTTTTGTGATCTTTTGTCAGCTTCATGACAAGTTTTGTGTGGTAATGCACCATTTTTTCCCTCAGTTCGTCGTCTTTGGTGCATAGAATTACCTTATTGAAGAATTGAATCGTTTTTCTCTTGTTTTCTCCTTTGTATTTGCTCACGGCCAGTCTTACGAAATCTTTCCTGAGATTCTTGTAGTTGCTCAGCATGTTCTCAAGAAAATGATCGTAAAATGCGTTCCTTAGTTCTTCCTTGGTTTTCTCGCGGTAGTGTTGGATTGAATCGCCGAGCGCTATTATTGTCTGGAAACGATCCAACTCGTACAAATCATTCAAAAATGTTTGAATCATGATAACCACATCGTCGAACATGTCCATATTCTTGAAATGGGCAGCAAAATACACAGAATTAGTCTCTTCCACGCCGCTCTGCTTTGCGTCCTTTTTGGACGATTGATCGATACTTTTTCTACTTATCTTCCGTACAAAATCGTACTCACACTCCCTTATAAGCAGTAATGACTGAAATATCACATTTAGATTGACGCTGAGAGTAACATTCTTCTTTCTCTTCAAGATATCGAACACACTTTCCAAATGATAACGAAACTCGTGGCTGTACAGCTTTTTCATGCACTTGATGTATATTTCTACGTATTCCTGTGTCATAAAGCTCTTATATTTTATGACTTCATCGTAAATCTCCTTATGTATTTTCAATTCTCCCTTGCTCTTGCTTTTGTACGAGTTCAGCTTTTTGGTAAAAAAATGCTCAAATTTCTTGTAAAAGGTCCTTCTTACATCCAATATCCTCTTCGTGAAATCTCTCACCACCTTCAAATCGAAGTCTTTCAAACTATAGATGTACTCCCTGTGCTCACTGCTTTCATTGCCCAAAACACAATCGAACCTGTACAACGATTCCTCAATTCTGCTCATCACCATGGCATCATCGTAATTATCGCTCTCAAAATAGCTGAAGTACTTCTCATCAATTTCCAACATCCTCACAAGATCGCTCAGCGCATCTCGCAATTTCTCTTTGTTGTTTATTTCTGTCTCGTACGCATTGTTCATCTCTTGCACGTCCTTTAGCTCTGCGGACAGTTTGTTTAGCTTGTACAAGTCTATTTCCAGTTTACCTTGTACGTACTTCAAATCGGTCAGTTGCGTGTTCAGCTGCGGTTTCAACGTTTTTAGGTTCTGCAGATACGACTTGAGAGTCGACAATGAAACGCTTTCGTCGCCTTTCTCTTTTGACCAAAAGAGTGCATCTATTTCTTCAGCACTGCAATTCATACAAAGGGTGAATGGCGATGTGTGGGAGATAAATAAATGACTCTGAGTAAAAGGGGGTAAATCGCGTATGATTTCACAACACTCAAAATATAGCAATTGAAACGAAGGCTTTGCCTTAACACGTGAAGTATCATGCAATTTACAACTTAAAAATCTTTTTTGCAGGCTACATTCTAAGTGCTGGGTGTATGCGTTCACGTAAAAGCAAATATTCTATCTAAAAACACGATTTTGATAATAAACGTCATTTAATAAAAAATACGTACTTATAGCATTTTACACTACTGGTGATAGTCCGCTATATCTGATCGTGTGATGCACCTGTGTAAAATGCTTGATTAAAAAAATTTGTTTTTGTTGTTTATACCAATTATACTGTGCTTGTACCAAAGAATAATCACTTTTTGCTGTTACACGGTTTTTTATGTTTTACAGCCTTTATATCCGCTATGTCTTGCAACATATCATTAGCTCATCAAGCCGTGGCAAGTCACTGGTAAATCCACATAGCACTCAGCAAGCTAAAAATAACCATTGGTGTAGATAGGCAGCTGATAATATGGTGCTAACATAGATATGATGACCGGTATTTATTATGTTTTGGTGCAGAATAGACTGGCACCCATCCATTGAACAGCATTCAAATTGATCATATTGGTGAAAAAATGCAGGTAACTAAGGCAGCATTTTATTCGTCAATAAAGGAGAACGGATTGTTAACAAAATCTGTAAAATAGAGGAAGCACCATAAAACAAGCATAGAAACCGTTTGCTCCGCATTACGGGCATAGTATTTGAAATATAAACCTCAGTTTTTGATGGGCTATAAACGAAGAATTTCATGGCCCATTCATGAAAAGCACCGGAATAAAGCCGGAAGACAGCACAGCTGTGAAAAGATACGTAGAATCAGCTGAGGTAGAAAAGTTTTTAACAAGTGCAAAAGGCCTCTCATTCCTTATTGACAAGGGAAAGACCTACGAGTTTGCTAGCAAAAAGACAGTGGATGACCAAATAGCGAGTATTCTCGATTTTTACATGACATGGGCAGAAGAGTGCCCGATAAAGAAGGGATACTTCTCTGATGGATACACGATTATCAAACTTATAGAAAAGCATTGTGATAAGAAGGACGTATTAGACAAGTTTACCTTTCTTTTCTAGTTAAATACTTGCAATTGGTATTTATTTAAATAGTTCACGCTCTCTGGCTTACCGTCCAATAAGAATAGCACTTGATGTAAATATATGTGATGCTTTAAACACACCAACCATCAGGTGAATCCACTTCATTTGCTTTAACATGCTATCTTACCATGGAAGATCATCCAAATTATACTATTGTCTTTCATCTGATCCTGAAAATAGCAATAAAGGATGTTTTGATGGTACAGCCATAGTGAAGCACATGACTAGTTGAATAACCACTTTGCACAGCAGTATTGAATGGTGCAATCTAAGTATTTTCTTGTGTAGACGTTTTTTAAGCCAGTTCGAGCAGTAGAAAGATAAAATTCCACTTTTGATAATCGAGATCGGTTAAATGCACGATTAACTATCATTGAACGGTCTATAACCCACCATTAACGTATAATATGTGCCTGATAGAATCTATCATTTTCTCAATTCCTCTTCAGAGAATGGCACTATTCAACACATCAGTTTAGTGTTTCGCGTCCAATGCCGTTCTAATAAACCAAACCTTTAGCATTTAAAGCGATAAAAGTTATTGCAGTTCAGTCTTTGGACTTGGAACACGCGTTTATTTACAAATACACGTTTTTACCGCGTCACACTATGAATAATACATTAAAGAAATAATGAAAATGTCAATGGTACGCGCTTTTGTGAGTTACCGCTCAAACATCTTGAAATGCACCCCCATCAACTCATATCAATCCGAAGTTGTCTATTTTTGGTGTACTGCACTGTAATTTGCTCTTTATGTGCTTAACTCAACATGCTGTACGGCTCAGTCATACCATAGCGATTGTCTAGGCATGGTTGTGCGACGTAGTATGGCGAGGTGCAACTGAGGTAAACTTATTACTGTTTTACCAGGGCGTGGTTGCGTAGTATGGCGAGGTGCAACTGAGGTAAACTTATTACCATTTTACCAGGGCGTGGTCGGTATTTTACTCCAAAGCATTTATTTCAGAGCTTCCTCTCTCATTATGAGTGTTTCTACTGCTATATATTAATAAACAAAGTTTGATCAATGTTATGAAACTTTGTTTCGTCTCTACTATAAAAAAACAAAAACAAGCCAACTCAATGTTTACAGACAAACTCCTAGACAAGCTCATGAACGTGATTAACAAGCAAATGGCAGGCACAAAAATACAGCTTGACAATCCTACGTCTAACCAATTGCGCGACAGCATGATGGTGCTAACAAGGAAGATGCACACAGAAGATGTAGGCTCCTACCTGACCAAGGTCATAAGACATATCGATACTCCCAATCTGTTCATAAAATCGCTCATAAATTACTACCTGATAAACATAAAACACAACACAACCGTACTAATGCTCATTATCAATACCACGCTCAAAGACTTGAACGATAATGATTACTTCAAAATACAGGGACTAAGAGTGGCAACGAACGTAAAGAACAGCGATATACAACAATTTTTTGTGTCAAGGATACACAAATTGATGAGTGATAAGAACTTTATGGTCAGATTGTGCTCGGTCATAGCATCGATAAGTATATTCCAACACAACTATGACAAATTTGTGGAGTATAAATTCGGAGAGATGCTTATGAAAATGATGGGAGACAACGTTCTGGCTGTCAGAGAATGCGTCTTGATCGCTATTTCTGTCACCAACATGGAGATAAACCTAGAGCTGCTAGTGTCGAATGCGGAAAAGAGAAGCGAAAATGAACGAATCGCGGTCTTAAGAATAATCAGAAAGCGGCTGGAAGAGGTAAAAAGAACAGGAACAGACTTTAAAATGGTTGAAGAGGATGACAATGGCGATTTGATATCGCTCAAAGACTATGGTGATGATGAAATGAGGGAAGGCAGCGTGAAAGTTGAACATGATAAGGACAAAAATAGAATGACAGGCACGTTTTTGCTCTCAAAAGCTACCAAGAAGTTCTTGACACATGCTCTACGTTCGCAAAATCATGTTTCTGCGATTCTTGCTGCTCAAATTCTTGTTCATTCCAAGGTATTTCACCATTTAATCTTTAATTCCCTGATTTATTTTTTGGACACGATCTATTCGCCGTACATTCTTGAGTTCTTCTTGACAAATGGCTTGAACTACGATAGTAAGCAATTTTTCATTTTTCATAACGATCGAAAGGAAATAAAACGACTCAAATTGCTGATACTCTGCGATATAATGGATGAACTGGCTATTAGCGAGATAAAAAGATATCATTACCTATTTAACAACGAAATATTGGAGTGTTTAATACTGAAAGAGTACAAAGACCAAAATTTGATCAAGCGGATAATTGTATGCGGTCTGGAAATGGACAATAGTGCGGATTGCCAGCTGTCTAATAAGAGTGATAGCGAAAAAAAGCTTTTTGTAGATGAGTACTTGACTAAGAGCACTTTGGAAATGCTAGTGAAGCTTCAATCGAAGATAACATTCAATATAGATGATATCTTATCAGATATTGAACCAAAAAATAATGATATATCACATTATTTGGTTCTAGCCCAACATTTTTTGGCAGGTAAACCAAAAACCCTTGACTACATCGAAAGACAGAAAATGACGTTTTTACAGTGCACAGAATTGCTGAATTTTTATCTTTCATTAACAAAACGAGGGATATATCTGGATATTCCAGATATAGAATGGCCATCTGCTCTTACATCCAGGGTCAACTTACTGCGTGAATATAATGAGAAGAAAAAACAAGTATCAAGTATATCCGAGAACGCTAGTTTCGTACTTGAATATTTTTCAACCAGTAGCACTGTTCCTGATGGTAAGTTGTCAAGCGCACACTATAATGACACCAACAATATAGGTGAGAACTACCAACATGCTCCATCCATGGATGATGGCATAGCAGTGGAAATGTCTGTCCCCTGCAAAACATACAATCCTGACAATGAAAACTGCTGTACTGGGAGTGAAAAGCTGTTGTTGCAGGAAGTTCTTCCGCGAATAGAACCAAAGATGGATAAAGAGTCGCAAGAACGGCAAAAAGCAATAGATTTTGCGGGAATAAACAATTACCGGAATGAAATGTTTAATACCACTGACCACGGAACACAATCGGATGTTTCGATTGTGATGAACACGAAAATCTTGGCATCATTGAGCTCGTTTCCAGAATCGGACAATTCGCTACATTTAGGTGATGAAACAGTAAAAAATATGATTTCTGGCACAAATACAGATGAACCAACAAATATTACGGACATAAATGGTAATATGGCATCTATTACAGTTAAAGAATGCACCGTCGCATCTCAGAGAATTCTTACTGGCTCAGACAATGCTGCTAAAGTCATTTGTGACAAAAGAGAAGATTGCACAAGCGAGTCATTGCCAGAGATGATGCACCTGGAAACACTATCAAACGAGTATTTTGACGGTGTGATCTATTTGGCTGATAAAATGCTATACTTGGACATAAAAGAACTCAAAAAGAAATTCAGATTCACATACAACAACCGTGGCATCACGGTTGACAAGAAGCAGAGAGTGGGCATCAAAAGGATAAAAGAGGATGACATAAACAAAGTCATAAACTACAAAACGAACACCACTTTTCGTAGGCTGCATCTCTGCATCAGCAAGTTCATCAAGCCTAAGGAAGTTTCAATGGATGAATTCATCAAAAATTTCAGCTATTTAGCCGATTATGAGATTCTCAACGTGGACAGCGTCAATTATTTGAACGTTTACTTCCTAGATAGCAGAAAATTCTGTTTCTCGGTGTTTGACAAGTGGTTTTATGGTGAAATATTTTCTCTTCAAGTAATTCTGAAATCAAATAATAGGAAATACTTGAAAATGATAAAAGCAATGAAATTCAAATAGGTTCAATAAAAGTGTTTGTTATAAGTCTTGAGTCACACGTAGATGCACACAATCACCGTTTATCGATCAAAACATTGCATAGCAAGAATAGCAATCGTACAGGAACACCTGTTTGCTTTTGATTTCCATTATTGCTGAGTTTGTGTATAACCGGATATAAAGTTTTTGTAAATTGTTTCGGAACCGCCATAGGGGGATCAAAAAACTTTGCCCCTTAGTCATTATGGACAATGTTGCCTTTGTTCATATCGTTGATGAGCACCTGATTTTGGGTGTGAATTCGCCTGTCAAAATGCAGTACGAGTTTAACGAAGGCAGCTTGACGAAAATGTGCCGCTTTGTCGACTCGTTATCCATTATTGTGCCCTTGGCGATAGACAGCAATGTGGTTCTGAAGGTGATAGCCAAAATTCTGCAGGACAGCCTCATCGAAAATGTTGTGGTGAATGCACCATGCACACTCGTGAGCATGGCACTCTCAATGGAGAGTTTGATATTCATCAGTTTGGTGCCTAAAGAAAACACCATTATAGCGTATATAGAGGCTGTCAAAAATAGGAATATTGATATGCCGAGCGTATGTGCCGTAAATGGGGATTTGAAATCTTTGTTGGAACAGATATATGATCGATTCTGTATTTTAGATGACATCGCAGGTTTGTATGAACGGTTGTACGTGCACTCGTTGGATGACAAGCTGCACAAGACTTTTTACTTGGAATTGGAAAAGCTACTAAACAAGAGAACAAAACAAAATAAAAAGATTGACAAGCTTTCTACTGACAATAAGTTGGCGGATTGTACTCAGTTCAAGTTTTCGGAAAAAAATCCTATCTATATTGGTTCGTGGTTATTAACGAAGGTGCGGTTCTTTAAAACAAATCATTTTGCAACACGTGATAATTTCTTAAAAAAGGATTATTCGCTGTTAAGCATAGATAATTGATGGTTATTAAATGACATTCCTCTGAAATCTTTGGCAGTTATCTGCGTACTACCGTGATGCATTTTTGCTGTGATAATCAAACAGTAATTGTTTTAATTGCTTTCTTCTCCCGATCCACTGTATGATGGTCCTACGAATATCAAAAAAAGTTTTGTTTTTTTGCCTTTCAAAAACGACGCTTAGAATCATTGACAAGCTTTCCGTTCTGAGAGTTTTTATCAGGTATAGATGTGCGTATGGTATAAAACTTGATTATCTTGATATTTTGTTCAACGGTTTAGAACATTTTTTACTGAACACAGAATTTAATGTGCTGACCAGATCACCGTAATACGAAAAAGAGGTTTTGGTATTGCAGTGATCCCGCCAATGATGTTCAGTGCCTCATAGGTACCTGTCGATCACGCTTTTATCAAGATAATATTTAAAGTCTGGGCCACTGGTATTCGCCCAGTATTTCTCATTTGAACTGTTTAGAGCTTCCAACGTAAAAAGCACCAGATGCGGCTCTAACATTGTGTGAGATGAATCGCATTTTTCTTGCTATGGCAGTTTCTGCCTGCATATCTTTAATTATACATTTAAAGTTGAGTATTGATGGCGGATTGTGCGATGCCATTTAACAACTTTCCAATCAATTCGTGCACAAAAAGATTCTGTTCGTTTCGTACTGGGATGCATCATAGCTGATGATCCGTTGTGTTTGGCAATTTAATAACATCAACTGTTCAAATAAGTTATCCAATCATTTACACAAGGTGATGTTGTAAATATTCAATTGCAGGACTATGGCCTGTTCACATCAATATTGAATAAAACATGTAATCGAGCAATATTTGACGTATAAACTCGTTTAAAAGAGAAAAAATATAATTAGATCAATCGGCTGTAGTGCAAAACAAACAAATTAAAATATCAAACAATTTTTGATAGCTCTGGAAAATTAAAAATTAATGTAACCGTACAAAGTGACCGGTAATGCAGTTCAAAGAGAAGTCAGTTCCAATGCTATGTGCTCACGGTTCTGTGCCTAAAAACGCGA